ATGGCTTGATCCCTTTTGAGAGTATGTAGGCAGTCTAACGAGGAGGTTAGATGCATCCATAAAGTATAAGAAAAATTATCACGAAATTCGAATCTTGAGTTATGCATTGTCCATATCCCGAAGGCGGTATGTGAGTGATACGGGTATTTGGTAACGTCACGTGTCGATCCTGGACGTATGTCGGGATCGGGGTATGACACCTACCTAATCACGTGTTTAATTGAATTGGTCACATGTATTAAGAAACATGATTCAATTAACTCATATTCGAGGACAATATCAATAAGATTATCCATAAGTAAAACATACACCAAACTTGAATCCAAGAACATGGGAAAATGTTCACAAAGTAAACCAAAGTTACGAGGGTGGATTCGGCCAACAAGGCCATTCATGTCAAAATTCTACTCTTCTAACGTTGTTTGGTGGAGCAAAATTAGTCTCACATGTTGACTACTAGAATGGTACTTCTTAACAACATTGGTAAGGGCACGAACATGTGCATAACCATTGATCTATTCCATCGAGATGGAAGTAGATTCTATAGGGTTAAGGTTTGGGAATACTATCCCTTATTCTTGAAGTTTTAGGTCTTAGGTGCCAATGATCATGCTTTGGGCATGATGCCACACCTTGGCATGCCCTGATTCTACCATATGTTTGTGGTAGTAATCAGATTCGAGAATTTGGTAAACTTCCGCTTTCTACACTTGTTGCTTCAGGGGCGAGTTAGAAACATGGAAGGACGAGACAAGTATTCTCTAGTCAAAATTTGATCGGATTTATAAACTTCGGAATTGTACTCATTCATGGACGTAATCATGATGTACTTCGGGCAATATTTTTCATGATTAGACGGTCCATAAGAGCAAGCCAAAGAGCCACGGAATCCTCGTTCAGGAGATACTTTCATTGGTAATGCTTCGGGCATAAGTCTTCGAATGAAGATCATAGCGGAGGCTTATTCAGCTCTTCCATGCCATTGTTGGCTTCAATGGTTTCTTAGCTACCTTAATACTCAAGTAGAGATTCACGTCTTGTATCCCACATAAAGTGGTTTTTAATAGAAAACGTCCATATCAGGAAAATCAAACTTGTGACGGTTCGACAATCCACTGAATTGGAGGGAACAAGATTATGATTGGTGTTATGGGAATGAATCATCCATAAGCATCAAAGTTAGAACATTCGAGTTCTAAGACATGATTTTCATGAAAAATGTCGGGCTTTCATGGGTGTATTGTTTTATGAAAACTTCAAGTTTCAAAGGCATTAAATTTGAAACTACAGGTTCAATTTAGTTTATGAATGTTTAGTTCAAAAAATAAAGGTTCCTGCAAGAACACAGAATGCAATATGTTGATTTAAGTGTAGTGAATTTGAGTTGCTTCAAGAACAAGTGTGAGCGCTTCGGGACTACGAAAGTGAGTTAACGGTTCAAAGTATAAAAATAAATTATTGAATCGTTAATATCCAAAAGTGGGCTTCAGGTCAATAATTTGGATTAATTATCAAATTAATGGACTACATGTCACTTTTAATTAATTCAATAGATTGAGACCATTCGGGGTCGATTATAGAAGCAAAAATAATAATAACATTTGGGTTAAAATTATTTAGAATGCTAAAAATTAGCATTGGATTGAAAAATATAGCCCCAAAAATAATTTGGGCTCGGGTTGGCTACAATATGCAGCCCATGGATGGTTTCAGGCCACGGGCCGAGAGCATGGAGCCCAGCAGCAGCAGTTGCTGGCTCTTTGGGCTAAATGAGGGGCATGGATCAGGCCCAACGAAATGCTGGTCTGCGGGTTGGCTGCATGAGAGCAGGCCACGGGCTGAGGGGGACAAAGGGCCCAACAACAAACTGCTCGGTTAAATGGGCTGAGAGAGAGGCACGGGTGTAGGCCCAACAAAAATGTTGGCCTGGGTTGGTTCCGAGAAGCCCAGCCGAAGTTGAGTTTCTATGTTTTGGGTCTGAGGCAACCTAAGCCTAGCAGCCCAAGCTGCTGGCAAGCAGGTCAAGACTAGGGCGAAGCCCAGTGAGTTCACAAGCCAAGGGACATGGGACAATGGGCCAAAATCTGTTGGTTTTGGGCTTAGGGACTGCAAGCCCTTTAAACAGAGGTAGGCTGAAAGGCCTAGTGGTCTAGGTTAGCGCAGCAAAGCCCTAAGGCTGCTGCCGTGAAGGGTCCAAGGTGTCCGCAGTGGTGGTGCCGCAAGTGCCTATATATTTTTTTGACATAATTAGGGTTTGAAAACCCTAAATTTCTTCTAATTTATTTTATATAATTTGACTCACAAATTCCACATAGAAAATATAATTGCATATTGCATGAACAAATATATATATTGACAAAATATATGAAACATATACAATATATATATCGAAAGGTAAATATAAATGTAGAGGGTTCATGCATAATGGGGAATGTTTTCATGCTTCAAGGTCGTTTCAAATATCTTACTTTATTTTAAGCGTACCTGATTGGCAAAAAACTACAAAAACCTTTGAATTTGTAGAAGATCCTTCTTAGAAAGCCGGAATTGCATCTTGAATGCGTTGTATCACGTTCAATACAGGAAAATTAAATTGAATCAATAGCATGTAGATCAATTCAAAATAATAAATTAATCACAAAAAGAATGATTAAAACGTAATACTCCCCTAATTGAAGAATAAACTTTATTTAGCGCAGCGTTAAAAGCGTGCTGATAACGTGTTGTAAGCATAATTTACTGAACAATTATGGAGGCCATAGAGAGGGAATGTGCGGCATAGAGAGAGAAGAGAGAGATGTGAAATTGTGAGGTGTGTTTTATTCCACCCCATTGTGCCTTTAGTTATAGTAGTAGGATAGGTAAAATCATTTCCCTTTAGGATTACAATATTTAATAGGTAATCAACTCCTAATAGGACTATAAAATACATTCTCATATCTACTAGGATTTACACAATCACATTCATAATTTAATAAGACTGCAACATTAGTGTTATTCTTAAAATTGCCAACAATTGTAAGAATTTGTGTTATATCGTATCTTCGACCAAAAAATTTACATATTATAGATTCTAGTATAAAAGGGAATATTTTTGTTCACCACCCTATTTATTACCGTTCGATGAATTTAAGTTTCGAGCTTTATATAGTGGACATACACACAAATCTAGGGATGTCAATTCTAACCGTTAAACCCGATAACCGTGGATAACCGTCCGAATTGATTGGATTTGGATATGAAAATTCGGGTATGGTATGGATATGGGGAAAAACCGTGAACTTTATTCGGTTATGATTTTGGATATGGTTATAGGGGTCCTCAATCCGTATCCAATCCGAAAATATTTTCCGTCCGAATTTTATTCAATTCCGACCTCTTCCTAAATATATTTTATATAATATAATATATTAATTTTATTTTGTTGGCATACCGAACTCAACCTCATCAATTCAATTCATTATATGCATACAAAACTCCTATATTAATTCATTTAATCATTTTGCACCATGCATGGGGCATACCAACAACCTCATCAATTCAATACTCTTATTATTATACTCAACCAAATTAATTCATTGAATCATTTTATATATCAATTATCAAATGTTACAAGTTTATCAGATTCATCTCTATTCAAGAGTCTCACTATCAAGAAATTGGTGCATGTTATCATGAACAACTTCAAATATATTGTTATGTTTTTTGTAATTGGATGTTGCTATTTAATAACGGAATTAGTATCTACTAAAATTTATAATGCGTCAATTGGATGAATATAATTTTTTTTGTTTTTTGACGAAGATGGATATAATCGATAACTGATTGAAAATCCGTTACCCGATGGATATGATTATGGATAATCCCCGATGGTTAATTTGCGGTTATGGATATGATTAATTTTCGTGGTTATGAGGATGGATATAGCATTTCTGTCCCCAAACCGAACCGTTGCCATCCCTATGACAAATCTTAAAATTTAGACTCATAGAATAATAATAAGTTGGATACGTAGTTAGCATTACCAACACTTGAAGATAATGAACAAAAATACACCTGTAGTATTAATGTTAGCATACGGTATTTATTACAATAATTTAATACACCACAAAAAAAAAAAAAAAAAACCCACCGAAATGATAATGATGTATTGAAGTTAATGGTTGTGTGCATCCTACTAATTGAGTGCAAGTAATAAAATATGCATCTTTATCCATTATCTTAGGTGTAGCAGCTTCCTCGTGGAAACGGAAATGAGCGAAGAAAGATAGCTAAAAAGATGGGAGAACAAGTGGTGCATTTCAAGTCCCACGCAAATTATAAGAATTAACCTGTTGTGGTCATCATCTTGAAATGGACAATTTTTTTAGGTGGGAAGCTAATCATGACCAAGAACACTAATAATATAAAGTTTTCAAGGAAGTGGGTGGTTTGTAGGAGAGCAATTTCAACGGTACGAGTACACAACTATCACGGAGTAGTTTAGTAGTTGTAGATGAATTTTAGGCTCGTGTTTCACACGGTACATTTTGAATTCGACTCCTAGTACTGGTGAGTGGGGGCCAAATGAAGACTAAGATGCCTCTATGAGACCTCTAACCCTTGAAAGAATGAATTGTCGTGACAAAGTTACCAATTGGTCTCTCTTTGAAAAAAATAGTATGAACATACTATTATTTTGGCGTCATTTGCTATAATGATACAACGTTACTTGGATCTATAATAGTATACTTTTTGTCTTGTAAGAGAATGTATACTAGACTGAGTGGTCGAGGATGAAAAAAGGAATCTTGCTGAAGGCGGATTTTCCTTAGAAGTATACTTTTTGTCTTGTAAGTCATTCTCAGTTTGTAGAGTCAAGTTTTTAATGAGTGACTATTAAGTCCGAGAATCTTGCTGAAGGCGGATTTTCCTTAGAAGTCGGCCCTTCACACACACTTTTTGTTTGTCGGGTTGGATTATTTCATTTACATAATTAACTGCATGTGTTCTTAAATGACCCCAATCACTCCCAAAACACCACTCACATGGCATAACATGATTGGTGACTAACTTTTGTCTTATAAAAATGAGTGAGCTCTCATAACCTTTCCTGGGAATTTCATCGAAATTACCCAAACATTGAAAACAATCATTCTTTCTTTGGATCCAAAACCCAGAAGCCCTTTCATTCTTTCTTTCTCTCTAAAAAGACACCAAAAATATGCTAATACAATGAATACAATCAAAATGCAAATAATTAGGCCTTGTTTGGCAATTTTCTCTCTTCTCATTCTTTCTGGCTTCGCAACTCAAATCCATGGAAGCAAGCAATCGCAAGCACTTTCACAGCTCCACAGATCCAAATTGAAGAACGTCGCCCACATCGACAAGAGCCCCTTCGTGGCAATTCTTCACGCAAACGCAACCAAAACTCATCCTCAGGAAGGGTTGAAGGTGAAGGATAGGATCGTTAAATTGCCTGGACAACCCAACGTGAAGTTCTCTCAGTATGGTGGGTACGTTACGGTGGATAAAAAAGCCGGCCGTGCAATGTTTTACTATTTAGTTGAAGCTGAGCAAGCTAAGGATTCTTCACCTCTTCTTCTGTGGCTCAATGGAGGTAAATTACTATCCTACGTACCTGCAAATTGTAATATCAATGCCACCAGCTCAACTGATGATGTTATAATTTGTCATTTGCTGCGAAAGTTATGGGTGGTTAATTGTGATCTCTTTGTCTAAGTATACATTATTTTCCTTTATTTTAATTATTGGTGATTGATAGAAGTCGAAATATATGAAGTATTCCACTAAAATCCCAACTAAATAGCTGGCTTAAGCTTAGCCAAAATAGCTAGAGCAATATGCTCATTTTTCTGCAGTCAAATTCTAATTTCTAATCTCCTTTCTTAAAATTTTGATAAATTAATGTAAAATATCACTTGTTTAAAAACAAAATTCCAAAAAATGCTTCTTGTATGGTACTAGCTACTCCAATATATCTTTTTTTTCTGTATTTCCCCACTCTCTTTGTAGTGTTCCCACACCTTTGCATGATGGTTCCTAGTTTTTCTTCGGCCTGATATGATTATAAAAAGAATAATGTTTTATAGCTAATTATGTCCCTCAATTATTGATGCCCTAAACAATAATTTTCATTACCCAAAAGGTTAATTGTAATCAATTGCTTGTCTTGTAAATTTACATCATTAATTTTTTTCAATGATTTAGGCCTAACAACCACATATTGTATTGCGATAGTCGCACCAAACACACGCATGACTCTTTGTTAATCTTGACGTATGTGAAACTTAATGCAAATTCCCCAGAAGGCTAATCCTGGCACCTCTCCTTAATTTTCGGAAGGGGTGGTCCCTTGTGGAGGATATCTCGGCGCTCATGCTGAATCTAATACGTCTCTCTATTGGAAAATATACATAATATATATATGGACGTTGAAAAAGTTTGTGATTTGTATGTTGATAACATGCAGCTCAATTATACATCAGATAAATACATATAGGTTAGTTGTCCACATGCCACATGATCATTTTTATTTACACAATTGGGTTACCATCTTCTCCTTTCTACCAATGATTTGGCATAAGACTGTTGCCATACACCTAGTGTACTGGTATTTAAACGGTTAGATTGCAATTGTAACAATTCAATCATACAAATTTAGTCATCCAATGCACCGATGCATCTCATACACCAGTATATATAGAATTATCTTAGAACATCATTCTAGTTTAGTCTTACTAACTTCCACTTGCATCCTGTGTCAATTGGATCCAGTGACATAAATTACTAACTACTACTTTGATGACATTTTAATAATTTATTACCTATTAATTGGTACATATTAACTGACAATAATATAAGGTTGCCATTGCTTAATATTTTCACAGGACCTGGTTGTTCTTCTCTTGCCTATGGAGCAATGCTCGAGCTTGGACCATTCCGAATCCACAGCGATGGAAAAACACTTTACAGAAACAGATTTTCATGGAATCATGGTATATATTTAAAACACAATTACCAGACCTTAATTTATAAATCTTCAAAGTTTAATCTCTTTTTTTTCTTCAGCTGCTAATGTGTTGTTCCTTGAGTCTCCTGCTGGGGTGGGATTTTCATACTCAAATAGAACATCAGATTACGATGCAAGCGGGGATAGAAACACAGCTGCAGATAATTATGTATTTTTGGTGAATTGGTTGGAGAGGTTTCCTGAATACAAGGGCAGGGAGTTTTATATCTCTGGGGAAAGTTATGCAGGGCATTATGTACCTCAACTTGCACATACCATTCTCTACCATAATAAAAGGGCTAACAAGACCATTATCAACCTCAAGGGCATAATAGTATGTTCCTCTCTCTCTCTCTCTCTCTCTCTCTCTCAAATTGGGAAGTCCCAACTCTATGGCAAACAATTTTTTGTTTTATATATAAGCGATATTGGAGGGGGGGGTTTCGATACGGAACTATGATTGTAAGGGAAAATGCTCTTAATCAACTGAGCGAGTCCCTTAATTGGGAAGCACAAATCTATAGCAAATAATTAGAATTTAGACTTCATGTGGTTCTATGTTCTTGGATTCTTGGTAGTTGGTGAAAGTTGTAAAAAGGTCATAGGAAAAATGCCTGCATTGGAGGTGATTGGTCGCTCCTGGCAAGGGTTGACCAACTCCCACATTTGGTGGTGCAAAATGGTAGGCTATTTGTCATCATATAATCCCTTTTGCTCTTGGTTTTCCATAATTCTTGGTCTGGTCATCATGTTTGTTTTTTATGACTGGTGTTACCTTGCCTAATTTTAGTGGGTGGGTGGGAAATCTGCTTATTATATGCTTGACTATCACTTAATGAATTGGGTAAAAAAAAGGAAAAAAACTGAGAATTTATTGTATGAGAAAGTATTTCTGCACTTCTTTTTCATTAAGATCATCTCCAAACTTGGGCTAAAAGCCAAATTACCCCCTCAAACACTCTCCAACTCATGTTAAAATTTTAGGCTAAATGTCAAATGTTATTTCTGGGCCAAATACCCCACAGCTTTCCCCGGGGCTAAATACCAAATATTTATCGGAATTTAAATTTTTTTAGATTAAAATGTTCATAAAATTAATTTACAATAATCAACATATTTATTTAAAAAATTGATTTAAGAAAAAAATTAGCCTAAGTTAATAATTTCGGGCTAAAATTTTAGGACAGAAGGGTTGGAGCAGAAAAGATGTTTCTGGGCTAAAAGCTAAATTTTTCGGGCTAAAAAATTTGGCTTTTAGCCCAAGGGTTGGAGATGGTCTTATTTTTTATATTTTGCATTGGGACAAAAAATAAATAGATGCGTGCAACATGAAAAGGGGTTGCCAAAATCATTTTCCTTTTTTATAATCCGGAGCACTATGCTGGCCACTCGCTCTAATGGATGCGAGATTCATTGGCACATATTTATTTACTTATTAGTACCATATCCTAGGTCCATCAAATATATATTTACCATGTCGAATGTTTGTATTACAATTATCTAGTACGACGGTGTGATGGTTAACATCCAAATTTGTTGTCGCTATGACATGTTCAAAGCACTGGTGACAATGAAGCATATAAAGTTCGCTAAAATTTTGGCAACATTGCAAATACCCTATCTCACTTCTTTACTCAAAGCTTTCTTTAATTGTTACATGATGCAGATTGGGAATGCAGTGATCAATGATGAAACTGATACAAAAGGAATGTACGACTACCTTGCGAGCCATGCTATCATTTCAGATAAAACTGCAAATGATATTAATAAGTACTGTAATTTTGCACCTACTGTCACTACCGATCAGCATAAGGAGTGCAGTGATGCCACTGATGCTGCTGCTAAAGATACCTATTACGTTGACATTTATAACATCTATGCCCCTTCATGTTTGTCTACCAACCTCACTGCAAAACCCAAAAAGACTTCAGTAAGTTAAAACAAGACCCTAAAATTTTACCGCATATAGATATATGCAACTCTGCTAATTGCAAAACATAATCTTGCGTTAATATATTCATCGTGCAGATATTCAAATTTGATCCGTGTAGTGAGGACTATGCGTATGCATATTTGAATCGGCCTGACGTTCAACAAGCTCTCCATGCCAATGTCACCAAACTCTCTCACGATTGGGAACCATGTAGTGATGTTATCACATGGGGCGATAGCGCATCAACCGTACTACCTCTTTTACATGAGTTCCTGGAGAATGGACTTCGAGTGTGGATTTTCAGGTGAAGTTTCAGACTTTTTCTTGTTCGTATGTTATATATTCTTATAAATGCTATGCAATTTCAATACTTGAGGAAAAGGACATGCAGTTTTAGTGTTAGGAGTAGAAACGATCTTATTTTTATGAAAATATTGAATGCAGTGGCGACATTGATGGGAGGGTACCAGTCACTTCAACAAAGTATTCTCTTGACAAGATGAATCTTCCAGTAAAGACTGAGTGGCACGCCTGGTTCCTTAGTGGAGAGGTATTATTAGGAATTGGATCCACTCCTAACCTTAGTGTTCGGAGTTTAAGGATCAACATATCTAGACCGCATAAATTGAATCTGACAGTCTTCATTAACTCATTTTGTTGGCCCACCACACATAAACCAACATCTCTTATTTCTTTTACACACCAATCAACGGCCCAGATGTGTTAATCCTTAAGCTCCAGACACTGAGGTCCGAAGCGGATCCAACTCCGTAGTATTATACGACATTATTTATTTATTTTTTCTTTCTACTGTTCTTTGTTTCAGTAATTGAATTTTCAGAAGACCTTCAAAAGTCTTCATAAGTTCTATATGTGTCGTTGAACAGGTTGCTGGGTACACACAAGTGTTCGAGGGAGGCCTAACATTTGCTACAGTGAGACACGCAGGGCATCAAGTTCCAAGCTATCAGCCTGCAAGAGGACTTTCACTCATCAAGCACTTCCTTGATGGCACACCTCTTCCCGATACTAAAAGATATAACTAGCTAGCTAATTTCTCCAAATCTTTCTACCTATTCGACTGGCATTACCTTGTTAATAATTTTTTTTGGTCCACACAAGGTTAATTAATTGATTTGTCAAACTTCAAGTTGTAATTTATTGTTATTGAAATTAATAAAAGTTCACTGCAATTTTTCATGTCCTCTCGCTAGACTAATATCTCATGTAGAAATATGACTTCTTAGATTAACATTTACTTGATATACAAGGAACAGTAACTAAGGAGAAGAATCCAGAAGTAAGGCCGCTATTCTAACACCTCAGGATTACATACCTTGATTTATTTGTAGGATTATATGACGTTATGTAAGATCATATTCCTTTTGATTCTAAACTTTAGATCGCAAAGTTTAGAACCAAAAGGAATATGATCTTACAAACAAAATGATTACAAAATTTATTTTGTACACTCACTTTAGAAGCTCACAACAATTTTGGGGTACAAATTTTTTGATGATGTTATCTCTTCTCGCAGTGCAGGTATGTATAACAAGTTGCATGAGTGGAGTGCAACCTAATACCATCGGTTAGGAATTCTACGATAAGAGAAACTATATGAAAAAGATGAACTATAAAATCAATCATATAATTGTATTTATAGCACAACGGAAGGTATTTAACAAGGCGAATGATTACCTTTGAATATAGAAATTTGAGAGAGAAATTCTTGATTTTCGATTAAATAATATGATAAGATGAAAGCTACGAATTTCATACTTTCACTTGAATGTTATAAACATTAGATAATCTGAATTCACGAATCCACGATAAAAGTAATAATCCAAACTAATCTAACTCATTCATTGTTACACAGCGGGGAATAACTTTTCGAAAAGTACAATTAAATAAGTTAGTTAATTATATAGAAAACATAAAAAACCTAATTTGTAGGAAACTCTAGAGGTTCCACTTCCAGACCATTCTTAACTATTTGTCCAGACTATTCTTTTAACTATTTGTCCACCAAGAAAACAATCATAGGCCCAAACCAAAACCCAAAATTAAAAAATTAAAAATTAAAAATTAAAATACCAAACTTTCTTAAAAGCTCTTAAAACCCGGATTTTGTTTATTCTCCTGAATACTGAATGGGATCATTGCATCCCCACTACCATCACCGTCCGCACTACCACCATCTCCGTCATCATGGTCACGACGACCACTACTATCTGCCATCATACCTCGCCACCGCCACCTCCACCATTTCCAACTCGATCACTTCCGCTACCTCCTAATCACCATCACATCACCACTCTTAACCAACATTGTTACCACAACACCCTCCGCTACTATTGTTGCGGTTACTAAATAATCATAGGTCACCATTGTTGTTGCCGCCACCACCACCATTCCTCGCTATCATCACCATCTATACCGCCACCACTCCAACCACCATTGCCCCCTCAGACCTGGCAATTGCACCACACACATCCAACAACCATCGCTATTGCTACTTAGTACTATGGTTTAACACTATTCCCTATACACTTCCAAGTAAGTGGTTTTACGCTCGAATCTCGTAAATGGCAAGTTCGATTCCAATTTATTTTGCACTTTGTGCTACAAATAAATCGTTGTATAAAAAAAATATTGTCACCATCTCAATTAGAAGTTTGAGGAATTTTAATGAATTAACAAATTCATAATTTTTATAGTGTTTAATTGATTTCTCAAGATTCATGTAAAAATCCCTAAATTTAAGAAGAAGAAAAAAATCCCTTAAAATGTTTCTAAATACATGGACGTTGTATTCATGAAGTTTATGGAGTTCTATAGACTCCATGTGAACTTTAGCTGAATTCAACAGAAATCTTAAGAAAAAAAGCACGATTTTCTAAAGTCTAAAAAACACGGATAATTCCTTCCAAATCCATTTAAATTCTTCATTTTTCAAAATACTTTAAAATAAAATCTTAATTGAATATACATGAAATTTTATAAATTATTTTAAATTCAAAATAAATACATTCACATTTCTATACAATTTTACAAACTTTTTCAAAATTTAATTGAATATTCGGGAACTTTCATAATTTATTTAAATCTTAATTGAATAGTCATGATTTATTGAACTCTTTTAAACTCCTAATCGAAGAAACCTTGTGTATAACGTTGCTAAACTCAATTTACCGACAGATTACGAGCAAAGATGGATATCTCTCTCACCGGCGACAAGAAGAGGCGGAGCAGCAGCTCAAGAGCAAGATCTCCGACCACAATACTCTCTCTCCAACACGAAATCCTTTGCACCATCTTCTCTTTCCTCGACTTCTTCGACCTCGCAAGTTGTTCCGCCGTATGCAAAACCTGGTACTCGATTTCAACTACCCTTCCTTCGGAATTTTGTAGGTAAATTTGAACTGGGTTTTTGTTACTTTTAATGCAGGAGCACGGTGATCAACAAGTCTAAGTTGCTCCGAGTGTTTTGCCGCAAGCAATGGCAGATGGGTCTTGCGGGTTCTAGCAATGGGTCTAGTGATGGTCCTGAGAAACCTTGGGAGGTTATTTTGGAGGAGATGGCTGTGGAGCGTCATAAACTGGCGTTACAAGATGGTCGAATTCGAGTCGATCACTTGAGGGGTCACTCTGTTGGGTATTGCCTTTATCCTTCTTAATGTTCAATTCACTTTTCTTCGTACACTTTTCGGTGTGATGCAACTTTTGTGAATCATAATGTGAAGTTTTTGGATTTCTCTGTGTCTTTTCATTGTGCAAGAAGCAGCCTATATAATGCATTGAAAGTTTTGATTGTGTCAATTGAGGGCTGAATCGCGGGAATGAAACATTCTATAGAATTAATTGATTTAATCTAGAGTTTACGTATAGATGAATTTGGAGCGGCCGTTGCTTGAGAAGGCATTTATTGAAGAAATCGGTTATCTCGTTAACCGAGAGGGGCAAATGAATAGTTGAATACGAACGTCAATGCTTGTTAAACCTCACGAGATACTTCACGCCTCATATTTCAATTTTAATTACATTTAAGATTATACTTTCTGACTGTAGAATTATATATATGGTATTATTAAATGCTGCAGCTGGGGTGCCAAACAAATTCTGGTTTAGTTGGCTGTGTGTGTATGTAGGCTCATAGCTTGATGAGGGAAGGGATCTGTGTTAGTTCTTATCTTATGCCTAGGCATACTGCTCTCTGCGGGGATGATATCATTTCCTAACCTTGCTTTGTCTTAGGGTTGGACAGTGTCGAAAGAAGATGGGGTTGCTTCTCACTGGCGGCGGTGATAAGGTAGTTTCCTTTGTAAACAACTTACAAAACTAGCATCTTTATGTATAATAAAATATATTGAAGTTTTTTGACCGAAAGGTCACAGGTTCAAGTCGTGGAAACAACCTCTTTGTAAGGCAAGGGTAAGGCTTTGTACGATAGACCTTCCCCCTGATCCTCGCAAAGTGGGGAGCCTTGTTGGCTTGGGATCGCTCCTTTTTTTAACTGTTAATTATCCAAAAGCACAAATATTCCCGAGTCCTGAATCTCTTGATGTACTTCCAAACTGGGGGGAGCTTGAATATTATCCTTGAATATGTTCCTAGATCACGATTCCTCCCTATATTTTGCCCATTGTGATATTTCAACTCTATACTATAATGTGACAACTTCTTGAGGCAAGAAGTTAGTATCGTACATGTTATTATTAGGTTTTGGATATGCTTCAGACGTATGGACGTGTTCTAAATGTAATTTAAATGTATTTGTATCTGGCCTCCAAATGTGTCATTTGTACAAGCACCGCCCACTTGGCTTGCAAATATGCTTGGAGGATCGTATTAACAAATGTCAAATTCAAACTAAATGATATTGGCTGTGGAATAAGTTTTTTATTTGACTGAAATTGTATTTTTGAATAAATGGTCCATCTTTTCAGTTCTCATCAGCTCAACTTGCATGCATTTTGCCTATTCCCACTTTATACCATCCTTCACGTTTTTCCACCTAAGCCAAGGCATCAAGCGCTTTGTTAGACTTTGCACTTGGCCCTATCGTATCTTTTAACTAAGTATACCACTCTTCGTGTCCACGAACCTTGGAATTTCTTTGTTCAACAGACCTTGTTCCGCAGGGCCGACCCTTTCTTCTCTTGATAGCTTGTAGTAATAAACTCATGAACTTGTTCAATTGTTGTTAATTATGTGGTCATGAGGTTTTCTCTTCAGTATAGTTCTTCTGACTTTTGACATGGCAATGATGCTAGGTTATGCGTCTTTGGTCATTGGAAAGCTATAAATGTGTGGGAGAATATCCCACTCCAGACAAGGTCCATTTGGTTGACTTTGATTTTGATGAAAGCAAGGTAATTCAAACTTATTACTTTTTCATGCAAACGAGACTCAACTTAAATGCTATCATGTTACAGACCACATATTGATCTGAAGCTTAATCTGGATATATCATTGACTTACCGTTCAGATTGTGAAGCAAGACTGTGACTTCTGTTGTTTTCTGGACATCTTGATAAAGGATTGCAATGCCATGCATTACTTTTTCATTCAAACAAGACTCAACTTATATGCTATCATGTTACAGACCACATATCGATCTGAAGCTTAATCTGGATATATCATTGACTTACCGTTCAGATTGTGAAGCAAGACTGTGACTTCTGTTGTTTTCTGGACATCTTGATAGTGGATTGCAATGCCATGCACGCACCTTAGTTTAACAGATCGACCTAGGAGTGAAATTGTAGCATTAACATCAATTTATATGACAGAAAATACAAGGGCTTTTGAAATATGCTATTGAGCTTATTGCATTCTTCAACCTTACTTGGAAATGTAAATAGCATGTATGCTGTTCAATTCCTTTCATCCAGTTTAGAGACTGGTATGGATGATTCATTGTGATAATATTGTTGGATCTTTAACCTCGAGTGTGAATAGCTACCTTATTTAATAGTCCTTAGTCAAAGCATGCTGCTTTCTATAATTAACGGAATTTCAGACATGACTGACTTAGTTTTCTGTAGATTGTAGGTTTGGTTGGCACTCGTATATGCATATGGAGGAGGAATGCGATGAGAAGTATATTTCCCTCATGTGAGGGCACCTTTCCGAAGGGTTTATGCATGCGGTATGCAGAGAAAATACTCTCATTATTTTTACTTTTATTTTGTAAGTGCTAGAATGCATTACTTCATGAGCAGCAATATGCATGGTAAAGACCAATAACATAAAATTGGAGATTTATTATTTGATTTCTTTCACCAATTGGTTGGGCAGGGGATTATCTGAATATTTTACATTTTGAGCTTCTATCAATGGTTGTTCTGAAAGTTTCTTGTTTTGATTGATTGTATCTTATTTATTTGTTTACTAATATTGCCGTTACTATTGCTTTTGGACTTTAAAAAATTCCTTTGTTGCTGAAGGCCTTTCAATTTTTTTTACGGTTGTTTTTACTTGATCATTTCTGTTTTGGAATAGAATGCTAGATATGTATGGAGGTTTACTTTTGATGGTTTTCACATTCTGTTCTGATTGTAGTTACTGCGATCCTGAGGCTGTGGTTGGATGCGAGGATGGGACAGCTCGTGTATTTGACATGTATAGTAAACAATGTTCTCAAATCATTAGGTATGTACTACAAAGAATGTAGCTTCTAGATTGGTGTTTGTATTTGTTTTCATTTTCCTTCTAAATAATACAGTGAATTTATACAGCTTAACAAGATACCTTTTGACTTGTAGACATGCATTTAAATTTCTAGAGACAAAAAAGTTCCTGTCTGTAAAACGAAAACAGGAAGTATAAGTTAGAATTTAGAATAATTTCTCTTCTGGCATAGAATGTTCAGTATTTGCTGTAATATGAATATATATGCTACTCAATGGTTTATGGATTTTCTTTTGATTCCTGATTGCAGAACGCATGCGGGGCCAGTAACATGCTTATGTTTGAGTGATGATCAGTTGATACTTAGTGGTTCATCTCTTGGTGGTATCACAATATCTGGACTTTCATCTGGCGAGCAGGTTGCGAAATTAAGTTCAAATGATTCCTCAGGTTACACTTTATGCGTGCTCTACCATTGTTATGAGGGACACCTACATTCCAGTTATAACTTCTGATACATAAAACTAAAATAAATTTGAAAGCTCATCAGGACACTAATTACATTCTTTTTTTCATCCTCCACCACTCAGTCTAGTATATCTGATTCACTGTGTGCTGGACAACTCATTCCGTCGTACATGTCGACAGAGATACACTATACTTTGTTCATATAATTTTGAGTACTTCATCAAACTGCCAATGGGATCATGTAGAAGTCATAATTGCACTGTCTCATATTTGTTTCGTGTCTTATAACTGCTGGGTGTACTCTTACTACTTATGCCCTTTTGTCCTTGTTGAATGAAATATATTCATGTGAAAGCGAAATCATAAGGATTTTGATTGCAGTTGTTTAGAAGTGTTGGCACTTAACAGTACATCAATATTCTAAATAACATATTTATGGGTTTTGAGCAATCCTCGATCTTGGAGTGATAAGGACATTATGTTCATGACAGAGATCATAAATCTAGTATCAATTTTTCAATGCAGGCATAAAGACTTTGTGTTTCAACCCAGGCTCTCACTTAGTATTTGCTGGATCGGCTGCTGGATATGCATTATGTTGGGACGTTAGGTATGAAATATGACTTAAAATGCTTTTTAAGAATTTTAATTTGCCTGGATGTGCACTTTAGCTTGATCATAGTCTATGTTATAACCGTTTCCATTTTGCACCTCGTTACAATTCGAATACAAGGTTTGGATTACTTCAAATATTCTGTAGATGATATCATTGGTAGATAGAAAGCTTGTATGCAACTAGTCAGTTACTTATCCTTTCTACAGAATGAGAGTTGCTTCAAGATGAAAACTTCAATAAAAGCGACTATGAAAAAGTGTGTAGACCCCCAATTTTTTGCCCTCCATCGTTCACCTAATGGAAGTGTCCATGGTTATGAGACACCAGGCCACCTCTCTAATAGACAAGGGATTTTAATCGAAGATAGTGTCTGACAGCCCTTAGTGTGTTTTGAAGTGTCAATTTAACGACATATTCTGAGGTGATTTCTGATAAAATGCCTATTTAACTGTACATTAATTATCATTAAAAGAAAACCCACAACTTTTAACCAAAAGAAAAAATCTTAAAACGCAACGAATTAAGGCAAAAAACTTGAGAAGCTAACCAACCATGGATAGGGCAACTGACAATGATATCAACAAAGCGACATCCAAACACATGTGAACGAACATCACATATACTTGTTCCAATTCTAGAAAATATGTTTCTTAGAAATATAATCTCGATTCTTTTGGGGCTGAATCTTCACTGTTTCGCTGAAACCAAGGGCTGAACACTAGTGTTGCTGAAATATTAAGCCTTAAGGTTTAGAGTGGTTTATCAATTTTCATTTCGGCGTCTATTCTTTATACTTTTGTGTGACGTGTATTTCTCTGGACAGATGCTAAATATATGGTTGTTTTATCACCAACGGATTTCAGCATAAAAATCTGTAGTTTTTATATGGTGGTTTTATTATCGTAAAATTTGTATGCAAAACTTACCCTTTACGTCCTAGTTTTCTCTGTCTCCGCCCTTTATTTTACTGTCTCGATTGTTACAGATGACGTAATACAGTTGTGTGTTAATGTTCTTCTGTTATATTGTATGATTCAGGACAATGAAATGCTTATGGGAGACACGAGTGAGTCCAAATAGGGTATACACGTTGCAGCACATGAGAAATGATGCATCGACGTTGGCGGTTGGTGGAATAGACGGTGTGCTGCGTCTTCTGAACCAGTGCACAGGTGAAGTAATTTCAAGATGCGTCTTGGATGGATATTTATCGTCAAGTTCTCAAAGCACGATTGGGGCTACCCAAAGAATGAGAGGAACAAGGCTTTCGGAAGATACCCCCGTTGAGAGCATTCTTAGTACCAGACGGCCTCCCATTACGTGTTTGATTGTCGGGATGAGGAAGGTTATCACCACGCATTACGATAAGTACATCAGAATCTGGAAATTCGAGTAAGACGACCACTCTTTGTTTGCAATGACATGTATGTGATATTCATGATAATGTATATGTATAAAGTTTATTTATGGTTCGTGTACAAACTGCAACAAATTCTTGATCTTGAAGTAGAAACCGGTTTTCCGTCGAGTCCTCCGAGAAAAATAGTAGTTTGATTTTACTGATGGTTCCATAATTGAACCGATTGACAAGAAATTTAGAATCGAAACCGGAAATTGCAGATGATGTCTTGAAAATGAATGTCGGATGGAAGAATTTGATCTTGGAGGGTCGGTACTCATATTTCCAGTTTGATTATTTCGCCAGCTTCCCTAATTATGGCCAATTTCCCACGTGGAGTATTATAACTGGTCAATTCCCGCATTACATCTAATTATCGGTCCATAAAACTCTCGTCGGTTACAAAATATTATTTGTTGTTATTTTCTCTTTCTTTAAACAAGTCAGTTTTAATGAAAAGGTAGATCAATTACGGAGAAAGATAATGGTACATGGAGATAAAAGAATGAGGAAAATAAAAATTCAGGAGAAAAATCGACGAAATATATATATTTTTTGTTTTTAATTTATTCGAAAGGTATGGACTTTAAGCCCATGTTTAAATTCATCAAGTCCATGACTCAGCCCAAGCCCAATCCCATTAAAAATCCCACAACACCCTATATTTCTTTTGACGTCACTCTTTTTTCTTCTTACCCAGAATCAAAATTCCCACGCCAAAACCCTAACCCTAGAAACTCCAGAAGCTCCAAAAATGGTGTGCATACGCAAGGCCACAATCGACGACCTCTTGGCGATGCAAGCCTGCAACCTTTTCTGCCTCCCTGAGAATTACCAGATGAAGTACTACCTCTATCACATCCTCTCATGGCCGCAGCTCCTCTACGTCGCCGAGGACTACAACGGCCGCATCGTTGGCTACGTCCTGGCCAAGATGGAGGAGGAGAGCAACGAGTGCCACGGCCACATCACCTCCCTCGCCGTCCTCCGCACCCACCGCAAACTCGGTCTCGCCACCAAGCTCATGAGCGCCGCCCAGAACGCCATGGAACAGGTGTTTGCGGCGGAGTACGTGTCTCTTCATGTGAGGAAGAGCAATCGGGCAGCGTTCAATTTGTACACGGAGACTTTGGGGTATAAGATTCATGATGTGGAGGCGAAGTACTATGCCGATGGGGAAGATGCGTATGATATGAGGAAGGAGCTCAAGGGAAAGAAGGTGTATGGACATAGTCATGGGCATGGGCATCACCACCATCATCACCATCATGAAGGTGGGTGTTGCTCAGGGGAGGTGGCAAAACCAGATAAGGCAGAGGCGAAAAAGGTCGGGAGAGGGAATGCCAAGGCGGAGGCCAAAGCGGTATGAGAGTGCGAGGTAAATTGAGTTATTTGGAGGAAGTGCATTTTCTGTTGTTTTACTTTATCTATGGTTTTGATGCTTAGTGTTTGTACTGCAATTTGGAAAATGCATTTGAGGATTCGGAACTTTCATAGTTTTCATCTTAAGTCAATGTTTGAATGCTTACTCTGCTTTGAGTGGTCTATGCTGTAATTTTAAGTTTATTTTTCTGTTCATTGGCCTGGCCTCTTTTGTTCATAATTTGGTTGAAGAATGCAGTGTTGAATCACAATAATGATTATACATTGATTAGAGAGTTATGTTTATATTTGAGTTTGTTCCGTTTGATGATGTGTACCGCATGTCATGTTCTTAACATGTAATGCTAAATCTTTCTTTATCAATACTACTGAATTCTATTGGTGGCAGAATTTGCGAATGAGACTGGAATTGAATAGGAAAAATGGCTAGCTTAGTAGTTGTTTTGCTTGGTTAAGTTAACAACAAACCCACACTCCCATAATGCACTAAACCCGCATCTTGCTATTTAGCCTTGCCCTTTCGAGGGAACATGTGCTATTGTGCCCAAAGGTTAGAAAATGAGATTATGAGATAGAGGCTCAGGGAAAAAGGGGTCGTGGAAAACCTAGGAAGACTTGAAAAGAGAGTTTAAGAAAAGACATTGAAGTACTTGGAGCTAACAAAAGACTTGACGCAAAATTGAGCGCAATGGCGTTCTAGGATTCATATAGCCGTCCCCACTTAGAGGCATAAGGCTTTGTTGTTGTTGTTGTTGTTGTTGTTGTTGTCGTCGTCGTCGTTGTTGTTGTTGTTGTCGTCGTCGTCGTAGTAGTGTGTATATATGCATGTACACAAGAGTAGCACTTTGGCATTGAAAATGAAGATCAATAGCTTTTTGAAGTATGAGATTGTATGTGAAGTTAAATTGTTTGATGATTTGCTATCCTGCTTTCTCTGGCTTTTCTAAATTGGGGAGGAATAAAAGGTGTTTTCTATTTTGGGCACTTGTCCTTTGTTACAAATTTCTCTCTTTTGTCCTCCTAATCATTTTGTTTGGTTAATGCTTGCAGTTTTAAGTTGTTTTGAACATGAGTTTCTCTTCAGAAATGTTTTAAATCGGAGCTGTCTCTATGTTCATTAGTTAATCACCCAAGCATGTTGGCATGATGGTGAATTTCCTTGGAAGTGTGAGGTGTCGAATGACTAAACAGGTCCAGTAAAGTATAGATTTAAGAAATGACCAAATATAGAACCTAGTTTTGACTAAGAGCGCCGAAGATTTTTTATCTACGCACTGAACAAACACTCTGATATGTTGTAATGCAGTGGGCAAAGAGATTGAATAGAAAATAGGATGTTTTCCAACTGACATTCAGAAATGAGCACCCGATTAAAGTTCCTAGTCCATCACTTGCACCAGGTAGGGTTCCAATGTATAATGAATCAAGTGATCGCGAGATAAGCTAATCGAAACAGCACAAATATGAAGGAAAACAGTTTCTGCTTTCTTAAGGTATCAATATTTTTGAAGTTTGGAGGCTTATGTCAATCTATGACAATTGTTCGAATTGTTGTATCCAAGTATGCATTATACATTCAATTGAGCGAATGACACGTGTGCCAACGAATTTCGAAGAGTTTGGCGTGGTTTTCTCTCATTGATCTTTAATATGAAAGTGTGAGGCACCTGTTCGTTGACTAATTGAGTCCATTCTCCAAGGTTTTAGTAGACATTGGGTCGCTATAATTTGCTCTTCTGGATAAGAAACAAACAGTCATTGAAGGGAGAAGAAAGTGTACAAAAACCAAGTTTCTGTAAGCTTACACTCATATGCCTAATATTTTATTTATATCTTTTCCTGGCAGGTATTTTCAACAATAGATGATAACAGTTTTAACACTAGGGCCTTTAACTTAAGCGCCCACTTGACAACCATATCGTTTATTGTTTTTGCAGAGGTTGGAATAATTTTCCCTTGACTGGTATGTTGATAAGTTTGTTTTTGTAGATACCAGAGAAGATCTCTGTGTGAATATAAAGGTTCGTACTTTTCCCTTTTTAGTTCTTGGCTATACAAGCATCTTCAAAATTTTGAAGAAAACTTGAGAAATCAATAGAATTTGATTGCAGATTAAGAAAACTTAAGAGACCGGTTCAATTGGGTAGATGAAAAAAGGAAAGAAAAGAAAAATATTTGTAAACATACGGTACGTTTGAAGAATTTGTTTATACTTATGGAGACCATTTTATTGCTAAGGAAATCGAGGAAAAGAAAACAAAGAACTAATTAAGAGTTGTTTGAGTTGTTTATAGAGAGAGGACTTGGTAAAAACAACTAATATTTTTGTTTATCTAATGGTTGTTATTTGCTTTACTGAGAATGTAGCTTTTATTGTGATTAGTTTCGGGTTTTGGAGCAGATATTTGTGTCCCGAGCCGTATCTAGTAGATTTTGGAGATATAGTGCATTTTCATTTAATAGACGTAATTCTTTTTACCATTGTTTTGTGTATAATTATGCAACTTATATATTATGATGTGACAGATTGTTTCGCTACCAATGCATCAACATATATTAAAAAGAAATATTTAAAGAGGGCTGGAATCCAGTCAAAGTTGGGATGCTAGGCCCTCACGCCCATATTATATTATTGAAGAAAAAACATTACAACAAGGGGGACATAGTACCTAAACTCCGATGATCAATAGAAAAATTATATACAACCACTCCAAGCAGTTAACATGGCCATCACATATTGAATTTGAATCCAAAAGGTTGACGTATTATTTGCTGCATATGACTAATTGAAAAGAAGGAAATTAAAGAGAGATTCATAAAAATATTTTAAGTTGAAAGTGTGGACGACGAAAGGGTATTATGGTCCAATCATTAAAGCTCCCTATATAAAAACACCTAATTAGCGCTCTCCTGCCCAGAAGCCCCAAATTCTCTCTCTCTCTCTCTCACACACACAAACAAAACCATGGAGGACCGCTGACTCGAAGACACCAGGTCCAATTTCAAGTCCCTTGACGGACCGAAGAAGCTCCGAGGTGAGATCCGGACCGCTCCTTCTTCTCTTGGTATGCTTTTCAATTTTGTTTGTTTTTGTTTTTAGGGTTTGTGAGGACGAAGAAGATTATCTGAAATTTCGAAATTTGCAGCTCAATTAACTCGATCCATATGTTCTTTGGGTTACGGTGCTTGAATTTGATTAACTAGATGCCTACTTTTTTGTGTTCATTATTATTTCGCATGAATTATTTTTGTATTTCATTTAATTATTAATAGCTCTAGGGATTCATATCACAATCAATTAGTTATCGCAATTTTGTTTAATTTGCCTGTTTACCGAGTAGAATTTTAAACCAAATTTTGTAGCTAAGCAAGATTTTGATTTCAGAATCAATTAAGTATATTCACTATTCTGTTTGATTTGCCCGGTTACTTTACTTGTGTAGAAATAATTCTCTACAAATTTCCTAGTTTACGTAGGAAAGTAGCTATTGATACATATTTAGGTTATCCTAATAAATTAGCCGGCCCAGACACAGTAGAATGTAAATTAGCATGAAGCATTTGGTAGTAAGTATTTGAATGATTTCATGAGATGGAGAATAATATAGTGCCCGGCCCGAATCCAGATGGCTTACTTAGCTTACACACACACACACACACATATATATATGTATATTAATGTATCTCTATCTACATTTCCTGAAACACACAGATATGAAGAAAACGGGTGTTAAAGACTCTCGGACTCAACTCAAAAAAGAAAGGGTGGTTGAAGAGGCTATGGCTCGACTCCAACTTGACGAGGAGAATACTACTATTCCAAAATCACAACCCCTTGTAAAGTTTGCTAGACCTTTCAAATTCACAGTCCCTTGTGAAGTTTGCGGAGTGGTTGGCCACTATAATGATAGATGCCCCTACATCGAAGTAGGCCTCCCAGACAACGTAACTGAGGCTCCCAAGGGCTATGAAATAGTTACCTTACGTGGTGGGAAGCGTGCTGTTAGGATCATGTTTTGTGGTTGTTGTAAAATGCTCCGTGACCACAAGATCAAGGACTGCCCGAATAAGAGCAAGATGACTGCAATAATGAACTCTATTCTGAAGGCTGCTCGCCCTCCTGCAGGTCCGCTGACCACAGGATCTTGCTGATGCTGAGGATTGGGATGCTGCCGCTGTTGGATGGTTTATATCTAGTCTTGTCTTGGAATGTTGCTGTCCTCTTTATATTCTTTGGGTTTTAGCACTCAGTAGTCGGTCTGTATGTACGTATGTCATGTATGTCTTTGAACACGCACGTTCCGTCCGCTGTCATTCTAGTGGTAGTTGTGTCTCTTTATATACTAGGAATATTCTAATGTTGTTATTTCTGAGTGGAAAAACCCTCTGCTTGTCTTGGTTTTGGATGACACACAACTAACTTGGTGACATTAATGAAACAAGAAGGATCGATCCTGTTTCATGGACCAATTGATCTAACTGTTTTTGTTTCATTGTTCACTAGAGAAAGCCCCGTCTTGGATGTGCGGTGCCTATTTGGATCGAAGCTTTGCTTTACTATGCTGTTTGATCTCTGTTGGCCTCTGCTTCGCTTTACTTTGGGGTGGTGTTTTTAATTCACTTGATCTCCAACACAATCTTGCAACTACATTCTACAAGAAATACATTCCTCACAGTAAAAACCATATAACCTTGGAACGATCCAAGCATCCTCCTTGCGCATATAATTTCACTCAATCTGCTTATGAGAAATTAGTACATGCAATTCTCGAAGACAAGTAAGATGTTCAACTCCATGAGGCAGTTGCTTCGACTCCAAGCATTCATCTCTATGATCACCACATTCGGTCAATCGAGGGGAATGGTTTAGAGTTTGACTTTCAAGCCTGTTTCTAATGTACGAAGTTTTTCCTATGTCTTTCGGAAGCAGCAATTCAACGATCGGGAAAGCTTTAAGGTCTAAGACCCTTTAGTAATATGAACCCTTCGGTTGATTCAATAGAAAAGGAGTGGCCATGGTAGAAGCATATTGTTTAATTGTTTCTGCCTCATTGTTTTTTTAACACAATTTCTCAGCTTTCAAAATTGAAAGAGCAAGTTAGCGTACAAGGTCATGCACCTTGCACACTTTTACACTTCCGTGGGGTTCTCTCTTAAGAACATGTTACACCCTTATTGACTTAAATTGCTAAAGCTATATTCTGCAAAACAAAAGGTTGCGTGGGTGGATTGCTTCCTCGCCCTTCAAATGAGGGCTGGTCCTGAGTTTTCTAGTGCTCGGGACGAACACTCAAAATGTGCCTTTTTCAATACATCAACGTATATTGAAAAGAAATATTTAACGAGGGCTGGAACCCAGTCGAAGCTGGGGGGCTAGGCCCTCACGCCCATATTATATTACTTGAATAAAAAACATACAACGGGGGGGACATAGTACCTAAACCCCGACAATCAAAAGCAAAATCATATACAACCACACCAAGCAGTCAACATGGCCATCACATATTGAATCCAAAAGGTTGACGTCCCATTCACTGCATATAATGTACAGAAGACAACTAGATTACTACTAATAAAATGACTTAACATTGAGTAAAAAGAATCATCCGAAAAGATGGAACATATGCATCAATTTTATTACAGAAGCTATTCATGCGCTGTACTTTGAAGAAGATAAGAAATACCTGATCAACATATATGTTGACTATTTTAGGTGCAAATTTAGAAGTGATGCTCCAAGTATGATATTGGACAGAAAAGAGCGGCAACTTCAACTAGTTCTGCTATATCTGGCTGGCTGAGAGCAGTTAAGGACATGATTGTTCCCTAATAACATGAATAAATTGAGTAAACACCAAAAGTAGCAGCAAGGGAACGAGATGTGAAGTAGATGAAGAGGTGTAAGACCTGTGAATGTCCAACAACAAAGACTTTGGAGCTTGTTGTCAAATATATGCAGCGCACCATTTCTGATGGATCAAATAGAGCCAATTCCTGCCAACTCCAATCCTAAAAATCCTACAATAAAGCATAAACATTATTCTCTTCTGATGAAGATGTGTGTTCATGACTCCAACGTGTTCCATGCGCATTCCCTACCCATACATTGAAACCTTCATCTGCAAGGACGAATCCCAGCGATTCTTCTGGAGAATTTAAGAACCATGCATCACCTGGTTAAGATCAAGAAAAGCCAGTAACCAAGTTCAATTGAGTTTGAAGCACCATTAGAGCCTAATTTAAAATTTATCCCTTGGATGTTCATCACTTTACCCAATAGTTAGTTTCAAGAAAGCAAATTTCAACAGAACCTGAAAACTTCAGATCAGGGAGCACCAAATAGTGAGCTGTACATTCAAATTTTAAAATGATTCAATGAACGGATCTTGTAGAGTATAAAAACTAAAGTATTGAATTTAAAACATTGATGATGTTGGTTTAGTATCATTGAATTCTCATTGATTTTGATTCAAAACTTTTGAACATTTCCACAAAATGCAACTCACACAATGCAACTTTTGTATTTTCAAGGTTATGGATTTGACGAATAATGAATATACATATATATTATATTATATTATATATTACTTGGGTTGGATTTGGAGTCGGCTACAAATCGGGAATCCCTATAACCATATTCCAAGCCAATACCGAATAATATTAACGATTTTTTCCATATCCAATATAAATTCAAATTTTCATACCCAAATCCGTTGTATTCGGGCCATTATCCACAATTATCAAGTTTAGCACCTGAAAAAGACAATTAGAGAAAAAGTTAGATGGGTATTTAGAAAACAGTGAAATAAAAAAATGTAAAAATAAAGAGAACTGTTGAAGACTGTTCTGAGGTCCATTTACCTGCCCTGGGCCACAACAGTATTTGCTCCGTCACAATCTTCACAACACTATATCACAAAAAGTGCTAGATGAACACCCTATTTATACCACAATAAAAAACCACCAAATTCATCAAATCATCCACATAAGTTGATTAATTTAGATTCCTTTTTTGGATCAAAATTATTAATTTAGATGCGATGAAACAGAAAATAGATAAAAGATGCCGATGAAGAGCATATTATTGGGTCAAAATGATGATTTCATTTTCTTTTGGGGTCAAAATTGGGAAAAAAGTTGAAGTTAGTGGATAAGGAATGCATACCGCTTGGCTGTGGAACTGGTGTTGCTCATTGAGAAAGCAGAAGTGTGGATAAAATCTTTGATGCACATGATATGTCATCTGAAAACGAAAATAAAATGTTGGTAATGATGAATGAAGAATAAAATTAAGAAACGAGATTCGCATTTCAATATTTCACGGTTAGAAAACGCACCTTAATCAATAGTAAGGTATGGGATGTGAGCAACCTTGTGCCAGTCCTTACCTGTTTCTTTCTTGTATCTTTGGAGTAACATGGGGCATTCAGAAATGTACAATGCATTTAAACAGGGGAATCCACGAATCCCTTCTGGCAGTGATGCCAAATTAGAGCAATGAGTAATGTGAAGACGCCGCAATGACGTGAGATTGCTTATTTCTTCCGGTAGTGCTGCCAAATTTGGGAAATTATTAATGGAAAGCGATTGTAGTGATGTGAGGTTGGCGATCCATTCCGGTAGTGCTGCCCAATTTGGGAAATTATTAATGGAAAGCGATTGTAGTGATGTGAGGTTGGCGATCCATTCCGGTAGTGCTGCCCAATTTGGGAAATTTCCAATGGAAAGCGATTGGAGTGATGTGAGGTTGGCGATCCCTTCCGGTAGTGCAGCCAAATTTGGGAAATCTCTAATGGAAAGCGATTGGAGTGATGTGAGGTTGGCGATCCCTTCCGGTAGTGCAGCCAAATTTGGGAAATTTCCAATGGAAAGCGATGATCCCTTCCGGAGTGCAGCCAAATTTGGGAAATCTCCAATGGAAAGCGATTTGGAGTGATGTGAGAAATTTGGCGATCCCTTGGTAGTGCAGCCAAATTTGGGAAATTTCTAATGGAAAGTGATTGGAGTGATGTGAGGTTGGCGATCCCTTCCTGTAGTTGCCAGGGATTTTTCTGGGAAAATTGGGATTGGATTGAACCCTTCTGTAGTGCTGCCAAATTTGGGCAATCTTCAATCCTAAGCGATTGGAGTGATGTGAGGTTGGCGATCCCTTCTGGTAGTGCTGCCAAAATTTGGGCAATTCTGGTAGTGGCCAAATTTGGGCAATCTTCAATCCTAAGCGATTGGAGTGATGTGAGGTTGGCGATCCCTTCTGGTAGTGCTGCCAAATTTGGGCAATGGTCAATTACAAGCTCCTGAAGTGACGTCAGATTGCCCATCCCTTCCAACGGTATAAATTCCAAATCCTCAATTCCCCAGAAGTGACAGATGATTAATTTGGAGAGATGAGGGGAAGAAGAAGAGGCAGAAAACATCAACACATCATGTGTAATATCAGATGCTCCTCTAACAAACAAGGATTCAACAACCTTCCAGCTGGTATTCCTAAGTTCTATGCTCTCCACATTTGGATACAGAGGCATGGAAGTTAGATTAGGACAATTCCTGACAATCAATCGAGAAAGACGGGGAAAAGAAGGCAAGGACAAATTTTCCGTTGATGAAGAAGAAGCAGTGTTATGAGTATGGGCCCTCCACCATCCCTTCAGAACAGGGCACTGAGATATAAAGAGATTTTCCAGGGAGGGAAAGAATGAGATCCTCATCATCTCATCACTCATACTATTACTGCTCTCTTTCTCTGATATGTACTCCAACTTCTCCAAACTTCGAAGTTCAAGTTTCTTTAAGGGAAGGCAAATGATCCAAGGGTGGAAGATGTTGGCATCTCTTACAATTACTCAATTTGAGATTAACAATATTAATGAGAGAAGAAAACCAACTCGCAAACCTCACACCCCTATAGTTATACACGGACAACTGCTTTAGATTAGAATGGGGTTGCAATACTTCCATTGACTTTATAATATCCTCCTCATCAACGGCCTTTACATCTTCTTCCTCTTTCCACCACAATTCCAACGAATGGAGATGCTGTTTGTCCTTGAGAGGTGTACCAACATTTGATTCTGACACCACATGCCTCAAATTCCTTATCTCCAACTCTCCCCTTAATTCGTTAAGGGCCCCCAGCTCAGCAAGACCAGCACTACCGCCCCTCCCCAAACAATTGCTTTCGCTCAAAACAAATCTATTCAATGTACGAACACCATTCAATTCACCAATTCCACGTGGCATTCCACTCAACGAATTACAGCCTTCCAAGATGAGATGCCTTAAGTTGATCATTTTTTTAATGTCTTTAGGCAATTCCACAAGATACTGACACCAACTGAGATCTAGTGTTTCCAAATTCGAAAGTCCAACTATCCAATCTGGAAGTCTCTCCATGTGATTCCTACTAAGATCAAGATATCTCAAATGTTTCATTTTTCTAAGATAATTAGGCAATCTTTTAATTCCTAATCTATTGAGACTCAACATTCGTAATGACTTAAAATTTGAAACAATTGTAGTATAAAATGCATTACGTGAGGAACTTTGGGGATCACGCTCCACTGGTTGCCAAAGAAAAAGAAAGGTTCGTATCTTGCTTGCTTTTAGCAAGGATGTTGGCACTTCCCATTTCGACAAATCAATTTCAAAATTGAAAGATACATGACGAAGCTTTTCATGAAAATTCTTTCGGTTCAGATCAATTACGGCGCTTCCGACCCCCGACACTAAGATTGCAAGTTCATTCATAAGATCGTGCATTTTACAACTTTCTACTCTACCAAACTTATCTATTTTTTCTTCTTGAAAAAACGATCTGCACAACAATTCCCTGTAATATTCAAACGCAACATCCTCCAAACCCTCGTTTTCATCGGATGACTTAATAAACCCTTGCGCCACCCAAAGTCTAATCAATCTCTGTACAGAGATCTCATAATCGGGTGGGAACAAGCTACAATAAGCAAAACAATGCTTCAAATGTGATGGGAGCACATCATAACTTAGTTTGAGTGTTGGTAAAATTTCAGTTTCTTCTTGACTTATTTTTGAAAGTTTCTTTTTTTTGAAATTCAACCATTCTATTTCATGATGTTTGGTGCGCAGCATCCCACCTATCGTCCTTATAGCGAGTGGAACTCCTTGACATTTTCTCGCAACCTCCTCCCCAACTGCCTTAATTGTTGGATTATGTGGCTCATTTCCATCTTCAAAAGCCATTTCCTTAAATAAAGTCCAACTTTGCTCTTCATTCAAACCCCCCAAGGTGTATAATTTAGTTGTGTGTGATGCCTTTGCAACAATTTCGCTACGAGTGGTAATTAGTATTCTACTACCTTCTCCACCACCCACTAACAAGTCCTTCAAGCTAAGCCACTTCTCTTGATCCTCATTCCACACGTCATCCAGCACAAGTAGGTACTTCTTCCCATCTACTTTTTCTCTAAGATTATTTTGCAGCTGATCCATATCAAGCTTATCCACCCTCTCAAGATGATGCTTATCAAGCTGTTTTAGGATTTTCTTAGCCAGTATATCCAACTCGAATACATTAGAGACACATGTCCACATTTTCAACTCAAAATGATTTTGAATCTCCTGATCATTGAATATGAGTCGGGCAAGTGCAGTTTTCCCCAATCCTCCAATTCCAACTATGGAAATGGTTGACACATTCTTAGTTGAGATGGGATGCAACAAAAGTTGGATAATTGCCCTAGTATCTTCGTCTCTCCCTATAATATTTTCCTTGGGGACAAATGAGTGAGTGACACTCTCTCTCTTTATAAATCGTGTATCTTCACAATTATCTTTTAAGTAATTGGGTCTACGAGATGCAACCTCACTAATCCTCTTGTTAATATCTTTTATCCTGTGACCCATCATTAGCCCAAACACAAGTTGATTTGAGCTAGAAAAGAAAAGGCGCACCTGTAAGAATTTGAATAGATAATCATTATTTCGATAGGACGGTATTAATTAAGTTAATAAAATTTTGTAACGGTAGGTTATATAAAACATTCAAAACAATATGTAGAAGACTTATTGCAGTTAATTATGAGTTATTTATAAATTCATTCTAATTTTTTTTTTTTAAGAAAAGAGAACAAAAAGCCGAACAACCAAGGTCAACCATCGCAACTCGCCAAACCACTACCCCTCTCCATACCTCCGCCGCCAAAAACCCCCTCTTTTCCAAGCGCTATCTCTCACCTGCACCAGTATACCAACCCCCCAAAGGGCCAAACCCACTCCCACCCATCAAACAAAGAAATCAATTCCTCTCAACTACAGACTCTGAGACTCATAGTCTCTGTCTTTCTCTCTCAAATAAACCTTTCACAGTAGGTAGATTATGGATTATGGGTGTTTGGGGAGAGTGCAAGAAAGAGAGGTGGAGAGAGAGAGAGAGAGAGAGACAGATGGAGGTTTTACAGACCGGACGGGATAGCTCAAGAGATTGGGTGGATCGCTGGAGAAAGAAAAGTGGAGAAAAAAAGTGGCTTTTTTTTTCTTTGAAGTTTTCATTTTTCAATATTTTGTGAAGTTGACAATGTTTTTTTCTTTGTTGGATATTTATTGACGTTGTTTTAGAAATAAAGTGAGTGAAAAGTAACATTTTAATTTTTTTCACTGGGTTAGATTATAATATGGGTAAAAAAAAATGACAATATACAGGGTCTAGCAGCACTCAAAACCATTGCAATTGTACCTATTATATTTATAGGGAAGATATAATGTATTTACTTGTTAAAAGAAAGTACCAATAAAATTGCCATATATAATTATGGTGCAATTCCTACATCCTCCCAAAAGTAAATTGTTTTCATACGTGTGTACCCCTAATTTTTTTAATAAAAAAATATACCCGTATAATTAGATACAAATTTCAAAAGAATGTAGCCATTTAGGAAAAAAAAAAAAGGTATCCATAAGAGTTCTAGCAAATATAATGGACCCATGATTATTGATAAAAGATTGATAAATTCAGTCAAACGAAAAATGAGATGAAACTATTCGAACGTATAAAAATTCAAATTTAAATTTCAAACTAAAAGGATGTTAGGGATATCTAGCTGCAATAAAATCCCTTAAATTATGTAAATAATCAATTATCCTAAACAGAAATGACATAAAAGGAAATGAATAAACAAGTATATTTAAATAAAAAGAAAAGGAAAATCTGACATGAGATTTGATTAATTTTAAGAATTTGATATGGACATAAGTAAAAGGACTTCAAACAAAAATTTAAAACTAAAAATGTTTTAATCAAGAAATATTAGTGACTAGGGACCGGACCTAATTATCCCCATTTTTAATCTCATGACCCATTTTAACTCAAAACAAGTTGATTTAAGCTAGAAAAGAAAAGGCATATATGTAAGAATTTGGGTAGACACAATCATTATGTTGATAGAACTGTATTAAGTAAGTTAATAGAGTTTTGTAACGCTAAGTTATACGAAACATTCAAAACAATAATGTTGAGAATTTATTGCAATTAATTACAAGTTATTGAGAGACCTATTGTACTCCTAATAGGTGGATATCCATGGGCTAATGTGATTATGAAAAGGTTCTATAAGATGCAACCTCACCAAAACCTCTTGTTAATATCTTTTATCTTATGACCCATTTTTTAGCCCAAAAGCTAGTTGATTTGAGCTAGAGGAAGAAGAGGCGTACCTCTTTACATAGCTTTGAATTTCCAGGCATCATTTGTCTCAGTTGATTTTCAGTATTATACTCATCCAACACGTCATCGGCTTCATAGACTGCTTCTTCTACGCTTTGGAGCCACTCTTTGACTTCATTGTTGGCTTGCTTTTGCTCAGCGTCAAGAAGAACAGCTTGAAATCCGGCAACTGTCACCTTGAGCTTCTGGAACTCATCACGGGCACCCCAAATCAATCCAATCTCTTGGGAAGCAAGGGGGCCTAGCCTCTCAATGATCCCTCCGGCAACGTTGAAGAGAACTCCTTCCGCCATTTCTTGGATTCAGGACAAGAAAAACACAAGTGAAGTGAAGTAGAAGCTTGTAAGTGAGAAAATGATTTTGCGTAGTGAAAGATGGCTCCTCCTGCTAGTCTTTATATGCCGACACTTACATATAATTCCATGTATAAAATGATCATTCCACTCAATAATTGAACTACTTTAGTCTAGTGGCTTAATAAAGTATTGATCGATTACAATCAGACAAATGGGAAAACTCAATCATTCAATTTAGTGAGGGAAATTTTATTTAAACACATATAACTTTTTTCCACATTCAACTTATTCTCTACATCTATATTAATTTCAATTAAACTATCAATATCTCCTTAAACTCAAATATCTACCTAAACCCAATTCAATATATAAATTTATCTTTACACCCATTCAAAAAATAAACCCAAAATCAGTTGGAGACAGCTCTATTTTTGAAATTATTTTCATGTCTGATTCTTAAGTGTGCGAACCTGCTACTCCAATATTTCTCAAGAAGAAAGTGCCCATGCAGGATGGTGATCCTTTTCTCTTTTTTCTCGCTAGAGTCGAAAATATAGTCACAATGATATACATTGTTCTCATTTGTATAGGACGGATGATACTCGTTATCATCAATGTCCCAATCTTCTTCTGTTTTAATGCCACGCAAGAACCATATTTGCTTAATGCATCAATCATATGCTATCTGTTGAGTTCATGTTCATTGGTTTAAACTATTCTTGAATATATATCATAGCAGAACTCAAGGGCTTTATCAAAGCCGTATTTGCTATATTTCAAGTTGTTAGAAGTAAGAACAATTTTGCTAATTATCACTATGTTCCGGATTTGGACTTCACTTTTGGAGATGAATCCTTTCGCATTGGTTGATGGATGACACAACTGCTTTCAAGAACTTCAAAAAGTACATTTCTTCACTCCGGTTGTTTTTACCTTATATGTTTTTCTTATGTATATGCCAAGCTATTCACTAGCGTTTTAGCTTCAGTATTTTTATGTTTCAGTTGGTGGCAGTATTGAATTCCTAATGCCTTTTGGAAGAGTTATGAGTCCTATAGAGAAATTTATTCACGGGTTAACAAAGACCTTCTTTGCACGCAATATACTTTTAAACTCTAAAAAAAATTAAAAAAAATGTGCATAAATCGATTTATATCTTAGTTGAAGGATTTGGAACTTCAAAATTATCATCCATTAGTCAAAATGAACATATGATAAAGATTGAGTGATGGTAAAGTTTGATTATTGAGTATGGGTTTATTGATAACCTTTAGTTTTATTATTAATTTCTTCTTCTACTTAATGGTAATTATGCAATAGTAAAAATGACAATTAACAATTAAAATATAAGTTAGGTGTAGAGTGAAACTATGTAGGTTCAAATAAAATTTCTCTTAGTCTAATAAATTATTAGCTAGTGCTGTAGTTAAAGCTTGTGTCGTGGGGAGTGGACCCGTAAGAAAACGCAATTACAACAATCATGGTTTTGTTTGTGTCTTCCACTAATGACGGGATTTGATTTCCAGCACATGTTCTCTCTCCCACACGCTACTATATACCCGCCATTAGACTACACCCCAACACTGCACGTTTCTACCATTAGCGCATTTGTAAACCTAGCACTGCACGTTTCTACACCCAACACTTTCAAATAGAAGCAATCAGTCCAATTTTTCACTACTAATTTATTCATCGATCCTCACATTTATTGTGTAATTAATAACTAATAATTATATATTGTATTGTTTTTTATGTTTGAGCAACTGAGAAAATTAACCTACTCCAACTTCTGAAGCTTTCTTTCAGCTGAGAAGATTTGATCTACTCTAATTTCTAGTTTCAAAATGAGGGTTGAGAAAAAACAAATAATAATAATGCTACTCTTTTGCTAAGTGTCTTCATCTCATAAGGTGTAAGATGAAATGCTAAAATTGCTTGATATAAGCTTGAATACTGCCAAAACTACGTAACCATTAGAAGACTACCAGTGAAACAACATTGTATACTAAAAGTAAAGGGATGATGAGATATCATAATGTTCATTTATGTTGATAATATAATATACACTAGGAGCTGCAAAGAATTAATGGATGAATTTAAATTAGTTTCCAGAATCTACAATAAAAGTGATGAGATATTAGTATTATTATTATTATTGTTATTATAGATTGGTTTCTAGAATTTTAGTTTATTTATCAGATGCTATGAAATTAGCCTGAGGCCATCATACAAATGGAAGCAAGTACTCTGAAGGCTCTCCATTTTTAATGTCCTTCTCAGAGGACAAAGGCTAAAAATAAATGTTTTAAAGTAAATTTCAAAAAACTCTAATAATCTCACACAATTCGAATACTTTTTTTTCTCCATCTCGCAACTTTCTCTTGGAGTCTTGATTTTCATGAGTATAATCACTGATTTTGAGTGAACTCCACCTATTTTTTCACTCTTAAAAAGTTATTAAATGATCAAACTGTGGAATCAAATTCTATTTTTTCACTCCCATTCCACTTTAGTAAACATACAAAATACAAATATACCATTCCGAAGAAATTTCAAATTTAAATTTTGGTTCTCCAATTAATTAAACAAAATTATAACCAACTTTTTCACAAGTTCTGAACGGTTACAATCAGACAATTAATTTACAGACCATCTTATGTGGCCCCACTAACATGTTAACACCTGTAATATAAGATTATCACCAAACACCATCCTATCTTGCCAACCAAACATCCTCCACTTCCTTTGAACCTATAACCAAACATCATGCTTCATCCTTCACCTCCCAAACTGCCATGCAAGGAAGAAAATATCGGTAATATCGGAAATATCGGTAGTCCGAAAACACGGAAATATCGATGGAAATATCGGGATAATATCGATATCGATAAAAATTACATGGAAACCACGGAAATTGTAAGAAAAACTTGGAAATTTTTAATGAAACTTTGTAGGATGTTTATTTAGTCAATTATCTATTAGTTTATCACAAAAAATTGGAAGGAAATGCATTGCATGATGGATTTAACTGATTTAAGTTGATTATATAGCGAGCTGGCAAACATTGTGAGTGTAGAAAATATGTAGTAATTAATGAAAGAAGTTTAAACACACCATAATCATTTATATATAATTAATTAGTACAATATTTGGAGGTTTTATTTAGGATATTAAAAAAAAAAAAAGGGAAGTGAATAAAATGATGAAGAATAATGTGCCGAATTTGACAATTTAAATTTCTTACACATAAGCATGCGTCTAGGCGTTGAAGTTCCAAATTATAGTATATCAATTAACGATTGAAAATCAATACATTGAATAAGATTAAACTTTAATTTGGATGCCGATTATGTTTTTTCAAACTTGATATAAAGTAAAAAGTATTGAATTTTTGGAAGCTAGGAGTGTGTCAATTGAATTTTGGCTGACGTGCAAGGTATCAATCTCTTCGTCTCTTCGAGGGCTACAACTTTCCTTTTTGTTTCACTCAATTTCGTTGCGTATTGAAAAAGTTATACTCATTTGAATCTTACCCAGTTTCCGGCGACCTCAGTAGATTTCGAGGCAATTTCCGGCCAAACCACAACGAGTCAGACGTCGTGTGAGGTACCATTCTCTTCGCGTCTCTTCGAGGGCTACAACTTTCCTTTTTTGTTTCACTCAATTTCGTTGCGTATTGAAAAAGTTATACTCTCATTTGAATCTTACCCAGTTTCCGACGACCTCAGCGACCTCAGTGACTTTCGAGGAATTTTCCGGCCAAACCACTACGATTCAGACATCGTGTGAGATACCATTCTCTTCGTCTCTTCGAGGGCTACAACTTTTCTTTTTGTTTCACTCAATTTCGTTGCGTATTGAAAAAGTTATACTCATTTGAATCTTACCCAGTTTCCGACGACCTCAGCGACCTCAGTGATTTTCGAGGCATTTTTCGGCCAAACCACTACGATTCAGACATCGTGTGAGGTACCATTCTCTTCATCTCTTCGAGGGCTACAACTTTCGTTTTTGTCTTGCTTGATTTCGTTGAGTTTTGACAAAGTTATGGCCGTTTAAAGTGGGTGTAAAATTTCGGCCGAAATTTTGATTTTTTCCCCCATTGGGCGAGTCCCACATCGCCCATGCAAGGAAGTGAGCAATGAATTTTTCCTATAAAACTCACACTCCTCTGGTGAGATAACCAAAACTTGTTTGGCCTTTGGGCCATGATCAAGTTAACTATGTGTTAAGTTTTCTCAACATATTTAAGTATTTATTTAATAAAATATGTTGATATTATCGATAATTTCAAAAATATCGCGATATTATCGATATTATCAATAATATCGCGATATTTTGACGAAAATAGGTTGGATTGTTAAAAAAATTTCGGAACTTTAAAAAAACGATAATATCGGCGATATTTTGCCGATATTATCGATTTTTTCCTCCTTGCTGCCATGGCATATTTATCGACGTCGTACACACCGACCCAACGCCATCACCCCCTCTAATCTGATGCCTTCCTCGTCGACCCAACCAACCCACCCCTATTTCTCACCTCCGTTGACCTTCCTTCGTAACACCCATATTAAACCAATAAATTTGACCGGCAAAGAGGAGTGGGGTATCTGAATAACCAACTCGTCGCCGTCGACGAGGAATGGAGTGGGGTATCTGAATAACCAACTCGTTGCCGTCGATGAGGAATGGAGTGCGGTCGCTGTCGAAGTGCACTGGAGTGGGGTCGCCATAAAAGAGAGGGTTCGACATGGGTTCGCCGGTGAACAGAGGCGTTAGGGTTGTCGAGGTCGTCGGAGAAGATATGGGCGGAGTGGGGTCGCTGGAAAAAGAAGAGATTGGTGGCGATCTCGCCGAAGAAAAGAAGGGTTGGGGGTGGGCTTTCCGGAGAAGTGAGGGATTGGGTTGGTCTCAACGGAGAAGAGAAGGGGGAGAATGGAGGGGGATGAGGGTTTCCAGCACATAGACAGGAAAGAAGATAGAAGATGGATAGTGTTTGGTTACGGAGATAGTAGGAGTTTGAGAGAGGTTTGAGAGAGAAATTTCTTTTTTTTTTTGGTAAAAAGAGAGAATTTTCTTTGACTGGTGTTAAAATTTTAATGGGACACGTAGGATGGTGAACAAATTGAGTACCACCCGGTGAGGACCCAAGGATTGTCCGACAAAGAAAGTCATGAAATGGGATCCATTTGGAACGAGGAAATTTCAAACCTCAATCCAATGTCGATTTCAATCAGACAATGAGGATCCAAGGGGATCCTCTTCCGTACTTTTTATACCCATTTAGTCTAGTGGTATAATAAACTAAAACATAATCATTCTACTTTAGGGGATTTGATTTCCAACAAATGTTATCTCTCCCACTCCCTGGGGGCCTACACGCTACTGAGAAAATTAGATCTACTCCAATTTCTAGTTTCGGGTTGAGAAAAAAACAAATAATGATAATACTACTCTTTTGTCAAGTGTCTTTATCTCATAAAGTGTAAGATGAAATGCTAATATTACTTTGATGTAAGCTTGAATACTGTCAAAACTGTATAATCGTTAAAAGAGTACCAGTGAAGCAACATTTTACACTAAAAGTAAAGGGGATGATGAGATATCATAGTGTTCATTTATGTTGATGATATATCTTCGCTAAGAGATGCCAAGAATTCATGGATGAATTTAAATTGGTTTTTAGAATCTACACTAAAAGTAAAAGGGATGCAAGATATTATTATTATTATTATTTATTGGTTTCTAGAATTTCAATTTATTTATAAGATGTTATGAAATTAGCGTGAGGACCAGCATCCAAATGGGAAGAAAGCACCCTGAAGAGCTCTCCTTTTTAGAGGATATAGGCAAAAATAAAAGTTTTTGGGTAAATTTCAGAACTCTCTAGTAATCTCATACAATTCAAATACTTTATTTCTCTCCATCTTGCAACTTTTTCTTGGAGTCAATATCTCATGCCCCCTCAGTATTAGAATTAATGATTTTTCATGAGTATGATTATTGATTTTGAGCGGACTCCGCCTATATTTTCATTCCTAAAAAAATTATTAAACTTTTAAATCGCAGAATCAATTGAGAAAGAATTCAATTCCCGTTTTTCCACTCCCATTCCACTTTAGTAAGCATACCATTAATCTATGAACATTTTTGTTCGACAAAATCTTAAATTTAAATTCTGGCTCTCCAATTAATAAAACAAAATTATGATCGATTTTTTTTTCACAAGTTCTGAATGGTTTAACATATTGTGACAGCCCGTTCCGAATTAAAATATATTTTATCTTTGAATGCATAGAAATGACGATTTTACCCTCGTAGGGCTTGTGGCGTGGATATACGTAAATAATTTTAAATCATTTTATGTGGATGAAATTAAATTATATTTGATGCCACGGGAGTATCGACATTAATTAAGGGCCTAGTTGGGTTTGTAGTGGAAAAATTGTGAAGAAATAGGGGGAATTTAGGACCATTGAAATTGCCCAATCCGGGCATGTACACACACACACCCACACGTGCACCCCATCTCCTTCTCTCTTTCTTCTTACCCTCTCTCCCCGTCTGTACAACCAAACCCCATAACCCTTAAACCTCACTTTTCATCCACATATCGAGCTTGAGGACAGTGCTTCCCTTGACCTTACTAGTCGAGCCGTACCGTTGGTTTGAGGAGAAGACCGGTAAAATCCGAAATACCCGAGCTTCGGCGAGGTACCCTGTTACTCCGACGTGATTGTGGACGTTCCACGGTATTTTAAGGCTCATAAAGGGTCCTAAACAATTATTCTAGGATCCTGGGTTAGTTTTGGAATGGTTAGAATGTCGAAAATCTTGGATTTGTCGAGGTTCAAGTTCGGCCGGTTGTGTCGAGTTATTTTCCGACTGTTTTCCGTCGGTGTTAAAACTTCAAATTGTTTCTGGCGACGCAGATGACGGCCAGCGGCGGAGTCCGGCGAACCACCTGAGAAAAAGGAGGAATATTCTGTCAACTTTGACGAAATATACTTAACGGCGTCAAGTGAGACGTTTTGGGAGGACGAGCGCAGCCAGGCGTGACTCAGGGGTTACAACCCAGCTACATACCAGTGAATGGGCTTTTGGTTTTCTATATATACGTATATATGCTTACGTTTTCCCATAAATGAATTTAAATGGTTTTACGTTTTAAAATGCGATGTCATGTTTGCTTTACATTTTAGCATATGATTTAGTATAGCTTTGCATAATATTGCATGCTATTGCGGAGGCTAAGGTAAGTTCAGGTAAGTACATATTGTTGGTATGGTTGCACAGTAGTTAGTTATGAATCGATGTGTGTAGAATTCATTGTCCTGCATCCCGGTGTTAGTGCTTCACCCGAAGCCAGGACCTAGCCTTCACGTGATCGTTCACCTCCCACACCACACGCTCACCTTGGATCTAAGGCAGGTGCTAGCCTATCGTACATACCACATTAGGTGGTTTCGACTCGTAGGTGACTTGCGATACTTCGCATAGCCTTCACTTGATCGTAGCACTTGAGCATATTTATTTACACCTAACCTGTCGTACAGACCACATTAGGTGGTTCCAGCTCGTGTGCAGGACTTGACTGATGAGTTATAGACTCAGCCGTACAGGTCATGTTAGGTGACTCCGGTTGATATGTCATTTATTATTAATTCATTTCACTTGGTTTACTTATGCATTGTGGAGATAATTGACATGGCATACTTGGAGTTTTTACTACTATCGAGCATAGTTCTTATATATGTACGTAGTACTATTTTCTGGGAAACTATACGGGTTTTATAGTGAGGGGTTATTACTTTTGGAAAGATAAATTGTTTTGAAAAGCTTTGTTTTCGCCCACTCACATTTTCTGTTTTGTGCCCCTCCAGGTTCTAGGTAGAAGTTCGTATTGGTGGCTCACGAGGACTCATCGGCGGTTCTGACAGACATCTACCAGTGTAAGGTTTCTATCATGTTCTGTATAATCAGTAGTTAAACTTCTGGACTGCATTCTGATACCTATGCTCTGAATATGTGTGTATCTACACTCTAAATACTTTCCCTAGTACTTATATACTATACTAGTGTAAATTAGTTAGTTGGTTTTTATTTTATCCGTATTTTTATATCACGTACATTTCTGCACAGCGCACATGGCTGCGTCACCCTCACGTGATGGCCCGCATGCCTCGATCGAGGTCGGGATGTGTCACACATTCTATATCTTTTCCAAAATCTAAGGTTAAAAGCCTAAAACCCTCAATTATGAGAGTTGAGATCCTCTTCAGATCTCTCTTGAAAGGCCCAAACTCCCGAGTCCGGCTATTCTGGACACAAAAAAGGACATTTGTTTATGTCTTCCACCAATCAGGGGATTTGTTTACGTCTCCAATTTCTGACGCTTTCATTTTTTTTTCAGCTGCAAAAATTAGATCCACTCCAATTTTTCTAGTTTCAAAATGAGGGTTGAGAAAAAAAAAACAAATAATAATATTAATTAGATTTTATTTTTCAATGTTGTTTGCTACATTATCGTGTTACTTTATTATTAATAATACTAATTTGGTTTTGTAGATTAAGATTTTTAAGCGAGAAACAAGTTCAAAATTCAATTGAGGTATGAATCTTTTTGCTTTTTTGGGCTGTTGAATTCATCCTAGCCTTTACTGCATTTTTTTTTTTTTACCGCTTCTCTCTGCATGCTTCTAGCTGTTGTGTGTGTGTGTGTGTGTAGTATTCAATTGTTTTGCATTTATTTTTTGGAGTTTTAACGAAAAGCCCGCGGTACTCTTCACTTTAACGAAAAATCATATTTTTACACTAAAAAGTCAAACCTGATATTATTTACTTTACCCTTTATTTTGTCTTTGTCGTTAAAACTCAAAGTTTTCAAGCCATTTTCATTAGTTTCCTTTTTATTTTTTCCTTTCATTTTTACTCAATTTTTGTACTGTTTCTCCATGTGTTGCTTCATGTATGTTTCTCGATTGTTTGAGTTTACTCTTTGCCTTCAGTTTTTATTGAATTTTTTGACTTTTTGTGCATGAAATAATCTATTTGTTATATGTCATGGTTAAAGGTTTGGTTTCTTTCTTTTTTCCCTTTTATCAAAAGAAAACTAATGAAAATGGCTTGAAAACTTTAAGTTTTAATGATAATGACAAAATAAAGGGTAAAGTGAATAGTACCCAGATTGACTTTTTAGTGTAAAAATATGGTTTTTCGTTAAAGTGAACAGTACCGGGTGTTTTTCGTTAAAGTTCCATTTTATCAATCCTCTCTCTTTACAATTTAAGTTGAATTACCATGGGATGTACAACAAGGGAGGCTAAAAAGCAGTCTAGCCCCAGGAAAAGGCCATAAACAAAGAAAGAGACCAGTGCTTAAAAGAGGCTAGCGATGGTTAAACTTAAAAGAGGCTAAGTAGTCCGAAAGAGATTTAACAAGACATAAAACGCAACTTTTGTCCAAATCCTAGACATCCCACTAACCCAAAAAAAGTACAAAATGACAGCTGGCTACTCCAACGTGATCAACACCTTTGGTTCATTTTCCACGTTGGTGGATTACCCTAAGCCCCTCAAATAATTAACAAATCATCCAAACGTGTTTCACGTTGGTGGGTTATCCTGAATCTCTTAATAATTAACAAATAAATCAGCATGCTTTCACAGTGCATCTGCACATTTTGGTTCCAGGAAGTGATAAAACTGAAAGTTGAACAATGTTTTTACATCAGCTCCACAACATCATTAACTTTTGACACCTTCAATTATTTTGAATTAATAGCACAATAATAAAGCTACTTTAATTTTCTTCTTTGGGATTACTTTAATTATGCAGGCATCCTTGGTTGCATTGCCTTAAAAATGCATGCAATCTCGGACACTTAACAAAGTTGCTTACTTTGATGAGCAATTTTCCCCCAAAAAAGAATTGAGTGCATCAGGCACAGATCATGGCCCATAAATTATAAAAATAGTTACGAAAAACTACAAAAGCAAGTGCCCACTTAATATACGTCTAAATGTGTGTCTAAAAATTTAAAGGTGTGGTTTACTAAAAATAATAAATAAATTAATTAATTAAATGTGTGAACAAAAGTTTAAAATTATGTGAAAAAGTCTAAAGGTGTCAAAAAAATAGTATAAATGTGTATGTAAAAGTCTAAATATGTGTGTAAACGTCTAAAGCTGTGTGAAAATAAAGACTTTTGAACACTTATATTTTATGTTGTCGTGTAAAATCTCTATAAAAGAGATGTCTATGTATGTTTGTAATCAATCACATTCCAGCAATACGAAAATAAAATATTTTTGTTATCAGAAGAAACTTGTTGCTAATAGTCTGAAAAACATTCAAACTAATTTTCTAAAACCAGTGAAACATAATTTCACACTAAAAGTAAAGGGGATGATGGCATATCATAGTGTTCATTTATGTTGATAATATAATCTACACAAGGAGCTGACAAGAATTAATGGATGAATATAAATTGGTTTCCAGAATTTAGGCTAAACGTAAAAGGAATGTTGAGATATTATTATAATTATTATTATAGATTGGTTTCTAGAATTTCAGTTTATTTATCAGATGCTATGAAATTAGCCTGAGGGCTAGCATCCAAATGGAAGCAAGTACTGATGGGCTCCATTTTTAATGTCCTCCTCAGAGGACATAGGCTAAAAGTAAAAGTTTTACGGTAAATTTCAAAACTCTCTAATAATCTCATGTAATTTGAATACTTTTTTTTACTCCATCTTGCAACTTTCTTTTAGAGTCAAAATCTCATAGCACCTAATGATATTTATTTTTATTTGTAAGTGAAAGATTTTAAGTTCGAGTCTCGATTCTCAAATTAATTAAACAAAATTATAACTAACTTTTTCACAAGTTCTGAATGGTATTCATATTGTATCCCTTTTCCACAATATAGGCTTAAACGCCACAATTACAGGGACAAAGAAAGTCATAAATTGGGGTCCATTTGGAATGAGGAAATTTCAATGCTCAATCCAATATTGACTAGCAGAGAGCATACACTTTGTGTGTATGAACAACCGCCCACCTCTTCTCACGTTCTCATCAAACGAAACTGCTTCAGTTCATTCAAACTATCCAAAAAATATTATGATTTCACTTACCTGTATGAAAAAATGAGAGTGGGACAATTTTTCTTAATAAGTGCATATTTTTTTATTTTATGTAAATATTTTGATACAAAATTACTATTTTACCCTCCTCATCTCAACATTGTGTATTCAAAAGTGAGAGGCAAAATTAGAAAAAATAGGCAAAAAGGTTGATAAGGTGTATTCTCTTAATAATAGTATAGATTACAATATGAGGATTCGAGGGGATCCTCATCCGTACTTTTTAAACCCATTTGCAATTTTATTGGTATTCACAGTTTTAAATTTACCCATCGATCCTCACAAATTATGCTATTAAATTTAGTACACTACTAGCCTTCACGCACGTGCGTGAGCGCGAAGAAGGTTTTTTTTGAATCACAGCGCAACATGCGTGCGTTTTAAATGTATTTATAGACGTAAATTGACAAAAGGAAAATTAAATATTTGAAGTAAATGAATAATTTTCAATTATGCTAGAACAAACCTCTTATAAACCAATTAAAATCGTTGAATTAACATAATAAAATCAATTTCTATAGAATTTACATTAGGAATAGAGAAAATAATATTTAATAAACAATTGATTGAATCACATTATTACTAGCCGATGTACTAATTATTAAAAAAACAAAACAAAAATTGTACAGGAAAAAGTTAAATATTAAAAAACTGTTTAAAACTGTACACTGAATAGTTAAATATTAAAACACTGTTCATCACTGTAGACTATATAGTAAACTATTAAAACACTGTTTATATGACGAAAATACCCCTGCATTATTTGTTGTATTATTTTGAATTACTTTGTTTGGAGGGCAGTTTGGTCCTTGTAGAAGCTGAAACACTGTTCACACTATTCACCTTTCCTCCGGCTTTCTATATAAAAGATGAAATTTCTTTGATTGAAATCCCAATCATTCTCTAGTCGCATAATGAACTAAAACGTAATCATTCTACTTTAGTCTACAGTATTTGATTTCCAAGAAATGTTCTCTCTCCCACTCCCTGGGCCCACACGCTACTGTGTATTGCATTGCGTTTATGTTTGAGCAACTGAGAAAATTAGGTGATCTCCAATTTCTAGTTTCAAAACGATGGTTGAGAAAAAAAGATAATGATAATACTACCCTTTTGTCAAGTGTCTTCATCTTATAAGGTGTAAGATGAAAGACTAATATTATTTTGATGTAAGCTTGAATACTGTCAAAACCATGTAACCATTAAAACTTAAAAGAGTACTAGTGAAGCAAAATTATACATATTCTAAAATCCAACACAAAAAGCACTGTTCATTAACAGTGAAAGGCCTGTATTATAGATATGTTTTTTTATATCAAATTTTAAATTATCGGTGTTAATAAAATTGATTTGGTTTTCCAGATCATAATTTTTAAGCAACAAAATCAACCTGCAAATTCAGTTCGGATATGAATGCTTCTGCTTATTTAGATTGTTGAATTGATCTTTACCTTTACTAGATTTTATTTTTCAATGTTGTTTGCTACATCATCGTGTTACTTTATTATTAATAATACTAATTTGGTTTTGTAGATTAAGATTTTTAAGCGAGAATCAAGTTCAAAATTCAATTGAGGTACGAGTCTTTTTGCTTATTTGGGCTGTTGAATTCATCCTTGCCTTTACTGCAATTTTTCTTTTTTACTGTTGTTTGGTACATTCTGGTATTGATTTCATTGCAATTTTTCTCTTTGCCTTCAGTTTTTATTGAATTTATTGACGTTTTGTGCACGAGTTAATCTATTTGTTATATGTCGTGGTTAAAGGTTTGGTTTCTTTCTTTTTTTCTTTTTATCAATCCTCTCTATTTACAATTTAAGTTGAATTACCATGGGATGTACAACAAAGGAGGCTAAAAAGCAGTCTAGACCCAGGAAAAGGCCATAAACAAAGCAAGGAAAAAGACCAGTGGTTAAAAAGGCCAAGTAGTCCGAAAGAGACATATAAACAAGACATAAAGCGCAACTTTTGTCCAAATCCTAGACATCCCACTAACCCAAAAAAATAAAAAATGACAGCTAGCTACTCTAACGTGATCAACACCTTTGCTTCATTTTCCACGTTGGTGGGTTACCCACCCTAAGCCCCTCAAATAATTAACAAATCATTCAAACGTGTTTTATGTTTGTGGGTTATCCTGAACCTCTCACTAATTAACAAATAAACCAGTATGCTTTCACAGTGCATCTACACTGTTTGGTTCCAGGAAGTGAGAAAACTGAAAGTGGAACAATGCTTTTACATCAGCTCCCACTATATCGTTAACTTTTAGCCCTCAAGTCTTAATTAAGTTTTTTCTTTGTTAAGTTTTGTCTGCATAAAAACAAAGTCACCAGCTCCCACTACATCATTAACTTTTGACACCTACAATTATTTTGAATTAATAGCACATAATAAAGCTACTTTAATTTTCTTCTTTGGGATTAGTTTAATGATGCATGCATGATGCATCCTTGGTATTTTCTTCTCTGGGATTACTTTAATTATGCAGGCATCCTTGGTTGCATTGCCTTAAAAATGCATGCAATCCCGGACACGTAACAAAGTTGCTCACTTTGATGAGCAATTTTCCCTAAAAAAAAATTGAGTGCATCACAGTCACAGATCATGGCCCATAAATGATAAAAACAGTTACGAGAAACTACAAAAGCAAGTGCCCTTTAGTTTACGTCTAAATGTGTATGTAAAAGTTTAAAGATGTGAACAAAAGTTTAAAATTATGTGGAAAAGTCTAAAGATGCGTAAAAAAAAAAAGTATAAAAGTATATGTAAAAGTCTAAAGCTACGTAAAAGTAAAGACTTTTGAACACCTATGTTTTATGTTGTTATGTAAAATCTCTATAAAAGAGATGTCTATGTACGTTTGTAATCAATCACATTCCAATAATAAGAAAATAAAATATTTTTGTTATTGAAAGAAACTTGCTGCTAATAGTCTAAAAAACATTCAGAGGAAGCAGCATGCTGTTAGAAAATTAGTCTGAAAGTTTTTCTTACTATTAGTCTTCCGATTACAAAAACATTCTCTTTTTTTATTGTTGGAATGGGATCGATTACAAACATACAATGTTATCATTTGTTGTTCGAACTAGAACAATGTTTCTCCATATGTTTTGCATGTGAATAGGCCATTATAAGATCAGTACCCCAATTTTTTGTGTAAAAGGACAATCTAATGTTTTCAAATCTTTTATCTGCAACTACTGATGTGAATCAAGAACTAGGATGACTGCCAAGGGAGAATATCATATATAACCATCTGTGTATGTCAATGACAAAGTGTTTGCTAATTTTTTTTTTTTTGTATAAAATGTATAAATCTAGACATTGGCCTGTAAAAAATATTTGCTACATTATCTATACAACCTTCATTATCTTTGTGTAAATAGTATTAGCAGACACTCACATATATTTCCATGTATAAAATGAAACGAAGACCAGTCAATATGTTACTGCTGGTCTTAATAATTGAAAGTTGATTGTTTGCTAGTGCTCTGGTAAATGGGAAGCCACAATCATTCTACTTTAGTCTAGTAAGTATTGATTGATTACAATCAGACAAATTGGAAAACTGTTTGGGCTCAAAATAATAGTTTGGCCGAGGGTAGGATCATTCTCGGCCCGGGAGGCCGTGCGGCGAAAGGGCCATGGATCGTTCAGCTCATGGGCTTCCAAGCCTAGGTCGGTTAAATCAGAACGCAAGACGAGTCCTAGTACAACAGGGAGTCTCGACGGGATCAGTAATCCAGAAAGTGAATCCGGCTCAGTTAAAGACTAGGTTTGTAGTCCTAGTGAAGATAGGACTGGTCGAGGTGATGTTGATCCGGAGAGGGAAACCTAGTCCGAGTAGGATTTTAGCTCGGACTCAAGGTCCAGTGCTATAAATAAGGGAAGCTGTGCATCAAGGAGGGCCCTGCAAATCAATACAAAATTGCCCTGCGCAAATTCTCACAACTTGGGATTTTTCTTTTTCCTTTTTCGCTGACACATCTTCCGTTGGCATCAACAGCACTGTGGAAGCAACCGGTGATATCTTAAGTCGGCATAGATAGCTCTGTCACCATAGAATTAGTCGGTCTCGCAGTAACTTCTGTTGGCATTAACAACACTGCGGCGAGAACGATTGGTTACCTATCCGAGTCTCGGTCGAGAAGGATTTCTGAATCCTTATTAGCCGAGGTCATCTCATCAGCCTCCTCGGTGAAGTGAGGTGTTACAAGTGATTACATTCGGCACGTTGAAAGCCGAATTTGATATTGAACTTCGTAAAAATAGTAACCTTGTCTTCAGGTTCGAGAACCCAAGAGGCCGAGACGTGTTCCTTTCTCGGCCGCAATCGCAAGACGCAGAAGTCAGCCGCACCCAACGCAACATCAACAAATTTACTCCTCGGCCGAGCTCGGCATACGAGTTGGCACGCCCCGCAATCACCGAAGGACGTAGTTAGCTTATAGATTACTCGGCCTGCGCGCCACGTAGGCTTGGTAGTTTCTAGGGTCAACATTTTGGCACGCCCAGTGGGACCCAGTGCTAAACTACGAAGTTCATGCCAATTGAAACACGATCGGTAAAAAAGAAAACAGCTATGGGAAAGTCGACAGCCGATTTGCTGAATCAAAGCACGGGACAAAGTGTGCCACAGACGCAGAATCCCCTTAGCGCTGTGACACCTGAGTCCACAAGCGCGACCCGCCGAGAGAGAGAAGTTACTCTCGGCGGTCAGCTCCGCGGTCTAGAAATCCCTAACAGAAACACCTGCGTTTTCACTGAAGGGATAGTCGAGCAGACGTTTAGTCGAGGCATTAACAAGCTGCATGACGTGATACTCAGTTCCAATGAGTGACAAACTAGATTGCTCGAAATGCTGGTTAGTAAAGTCAGTGAAAGCAGGCCTTTCGATCTTCTCCAGCACTTACCACCAGGAAACAATCCGTTACCAATTGTACCAGCCGAGCCTATTCCTGCTCGGCTCAAACCAATTAACTTGGAAAAAGGAGGAGGGTCGAATAGTAGGTCAGACGGAACCGACCAGAGAGTCGAGGCAACACCTGTCGATATGACCGAAGTCCAGCGGATGATCGACTCGGCCATGAAGAAAGGGCCGAAGTTTCCTAAGTTTATTCATCCGTACCCATCTTACGTGGAAACGTTCGGATACCCGAAGGGTTTCAAAATCCCAGATTTCAGCCTTTTTGCCGGTGAATCATCCCTGTCTTCGTTGGAGCATGTGGCTCGTTTCACCGCGCAATGCGGGGATGTTAATAGTGATTTCCATAAGTTACGGCTGTTCAATTTCTCATTGACCGGATCAACATTTGCCTGGTATATCAATCTTCCTCCTAATTCCGTCCAAAACTGGGAGGAGTTGGTCGAGAAATTCCACGAGCAGTTTTATCGGCCAGGGATTGAGATGTCAGTTTCTTCATTAGCACGGATGGCTCAAGCGTCTGATGAGTCACCAATGGATTATCTTACCAGGTTCAAATCAGCCAGGAATTGGTGCCGAGTGCCTTTACCTGAGGTCGAATTTGTCAGGCTTGCTTTGAACGGCCTCGATGTCGAATACAAAAAGAAATTATTGGGGGAAAACTTTCGGGATATGTACGAATTAGCCCAACATGTCGAACAATATGATTATTTGCTCCGCGAGGAAAAGACTTCGAAAGCTCCAACTCGGGGGACGATTTACAAGAATCCTACTGTCAATTATGCATCAACTGAGGATGAATATGTTAGTGTGGATGCAGCTGAGATAGTGATAGATAAGCTATACGTTTGCAAGGCATTGACTCAGGTTGATTCTAGGGAAGTCAAAAGCCGCTCGGCCACGGAAGGAACATTGAAACCGTCAAAAGTTTACAATTTTGATATTACAAAGGCTGACGTAATTTTTGACCAACTGTTATCAGCAAGAATCATCAAGCTTCGGCCTGGTCACAACATTCCCAAGGCCGAAGAGCTTAAAGGAAAGGTGTATTGCAAGTACCACAATTCAAGCAAACATACGACAAACAATTGCGTCGTGTTTCGCGACAACGTGCAAAGCTGAATTGATAACGGCAAACTGAAATTTCCAGAGAAGAAGATGAGTGTTAATACTGATCCGTTCCCCACGGCAACAGTAAATATGGTCGATACGTACCTACTTAAGGACAAAAGGAAAGGAAAGGCTGAAGTTGTTGCAACGCAATGCTGGCGAAATCAGAATTCTCGGCCACGGTTCATGGTCGATTTTCGTGCAAACGAACCACCTACAGCTTTAACAGGACCCGCTATTGTCAAACCTATGATGGATTATAGCACCGATGAAGACAGTGGGACGGCGGTTTTGTGCAGAAAATGTAGAGCAAAGGTCGACAGTGAGCCAGGGGAGAAGCCCTCTTCGCTTGTAACAGAACGACCTATGGACGCAACCCGGCAAAAGGTAACTAACGTAGGCCAACATCAAAGGGTTTTTGATAGGCTCGGTCCTAAAGTACGGATGGAAGAGACACCCCCGGTCAAGCGGCGCCTCGATTTTGATGCTTCATTCTATGACGATGATTACTATAAACGTAATTCTAGCAGTTCAAAATCATCGCGGAGCCAAAAAACCTTCAAACCTCCCGAGCCTAGAGATCAACGTTGGTATACATATCATTCTTCGAAAGGTGTTTACACCGCGTTGTCCAAATCCCAGAAACGTCGGCATCAAAGGATAGATTGCATGGCCCGCCGACGGGCCGCCCAAGAAACTTCGGTCCTTAAATGGCGGCCGAAGGACACAATTGCTACTGATGATGAATGACCACCTCCAGCCATTATGACAGAGTTGGTTCAAGGGAAACGGTTGGTCGACCAAGATGTTGAAACCACGTTTGAAGAGGCCGATAAACGGATCAAACTTCTTTTTCGACCAGGGGAGATGAAGGCACGCCTTGAACATTTCAGGCAAGAGGCCGAAAGCAAATTAGCCCCGCCGGCTATACAAGAACCTTTGATTAAGATTCGACGGAATTTGCACCCCCCGTTCCTTGGGGAGTCTTTGGAATATATGCGCGAATTCCATAAGAAACATTCGGCCAATGATCTGTATGGCTTGCCAAAGGCATGCCAGGACACCATTGATCTAGTCCTGACTTGTCCTGATGCCGAGCGAATCATCCAGAAAACCTCAGACACAGGGCTGAAAGCAAGGTTCCAGCACATACGAGAAGCTCGTGTCCTTGGATTTGAAGTCGACCCATACACTGATATTGATGCAGCCGACCTTCCTTTCTCAATGGAGGACCTTCAGTATTTACGATATCACTTCGAAGTATTCTCGGCGATTTCGCTCTTCGGCCTTACGACCGATGAAATAGCACGTGTTGCACGTCTGGATGCTTATCTCGACACTAGGGATGCCCGGCTACGTTACCAGGAGCAGGTCCTGACCCCGAGCACA